CATACTCCTCTAATATCCAAAAGATAATAGTTGGGCTGGGGATTTAGCTCAGCAGTACAAGCGCCTGCCTGGCAAGTGTGAGGTCATGAGTTTGATTCCCGGTACCAAGTAATAATAATAATAATTATTATTATTATTTATAAGTGAGACATTCAAATGTTTTACACAGATCATTTTTCTTTGTTCTCTTTTTGGTACTAGGGATCCAACTCACAACCTCAAATACCAGGCAGGCGCTTGTGCCTCTGAGCTATATCCCTGGCCATTAATTTCATTTTAAACTGCTTATTAGGTATGCTGGTGATATGGGAAAAATAACTCTCAACCTGTCAAATGTTGGATCTGCTGCCAAGTTTGTGACTTCATAATATTAAGGAAGGAAGTCGAATGAACACAAAGGAAGCTGTTAGAATTTCATTGAAAACGAGGAAAAGAATGACTCCTGGATGTCCAGGAGGCATCCCAAGTGGGTGATCACTGAGACGCCTTGATGGGGCAGTTTATACAGCAAAATCACAGTATGAGTATAAGGCGGGTTAAGCTATCCATTAACCTACAGGATCCAGTAGGAAAATGAGTTACATAACAAGAGTATGTGGAAAGAATAAATGCATTCTTGGAAAGAGATGTGTCCTGATGTTTGGTCACTCATTTATATGTCTGATGCTTTTCTGGGCTCACTGGACCAGGTAGTGCTGATTACACTGTAGTCAGCTGCCTATTCTCTCTAGGAAGGCTTACAGACCTGGCTCTTCAGATTTGTTTCCAGCCACAGTCTTTGTATGTCATGTTCTATGTAGACTTCCTGAAGGGCCAATCCCTCCCTGTCTGTTCATTGTTATCTAGCTTAGCTGTCTGTGATATTGGCACCTCCTTTTGCAAATGAGAAAACTATCTTGCCCAAGTTCACACAAAAATAGTAAGTTGCAGAGCCAGAATACAAATTTTTGTCTATTTAACTCCAAAGCTGTTATAACCTGCTTTAAGCGTCATTACCCTGACCTGTGTTTCAACTGTGGGTCTTGCAAATTATCCCCTTCCAGAACAGCAATTTGAACCAACTGACCTTTGGTTGTAAAACATTTGCTGACCACTGATTGTAAAACACTCGGTCCCAGGACCAACTGGCCCTGGTTATAAAACATTTTTGCAGAGATTAACTCCCTTTTTGTATAAGCTCCCTCCCCTTTTCCTCTGCTTTACTGTCTTTACCTTTAAAAACACCCTGTAACCTAACCTGGTTAAACAGTTCTGCAGATTTCAATGCAGGCTGTGTCGCTGAGTACCAGCTAAAACAAAGTGCTTCCCTTTAAAGACGTCTTGCCCGTTTTTTGAACATCTTGGGGCCTTATTTTGGGGGTACAACAAAAGCCTATGTTTTTAACCACTTCTTTACTGTCGTGCTGATAGAACTTGGTTATAAACCTCACAAAAAAATTAATTTCATATGTAAAAGAACATCCTATACAAATATCAAAAGTATCCTATATAAGTAAAACATAAAACTCAAAAGCCAATTTTAAAAAATCACTTGATTTAGCTACCCAATTCCAGCAGCTCAGCAATGAAAACAATCACAATATCTGTTGTGCATCTAGTATATAGTAGATACTAATTTAAGCTTTTCATCACCATAAAAAATTTACAATGGATTATTTTTTAACCCCTTTGCAATACTAAGGATCAAACCCAGTTTATTTAAGTGGTAGGCAAGCACTTCACCATCTAGCTACACTCCCAGCCCCCAAAAACCAGGATTTAAGCGTATTCTTCATCTATTTTTATTAACCAAATGTATGATGTGTTAGTCCCTCTGGATCAGCATTTTAAAGAGCAGACACTACCCTCCCCTCGGGGAGTTTCCTGTTACAGAATCTGACATTCTGAAACAGAAGACAAAAAACGCCACACAAGTTCGCCCCCTGCAGGAGACTAGCGCTTGTCATCATGGCAACCCGCCCTGGACGCATGCGCAAAGTTCTGTTCCAACCCCTCAGTTGATTGGCTGGCAGGGACCGGTTTCCAGGCCTCAGCCAATAATGCTTGGGCTTGGTTTAGACTAGGATAGGCAGTTGAGGTAGTGTAACCGCCATGCTGAGCGACGATGGCTGGGGCTGCTGGCCGTCTCCGAGGCCGATCCTGGGGACGATTTCCACTCGCCCTGCCAGTGCACAGCGTGAGTATATGTCGGGGTAGAAACAGACCTTGTTTTTCATGTTAAGGCGTTTTCCTCACCCTTACTCCGAGGAGGAGGAGAAAGGAGTAATAATAGGTAGTACAAATTGGGCCTTTGCCGTAATTTAGGCCTGGGCTCAAGGCCTGAGCCTTCTGATTCTCCAGCTTGTTAAGGCCCGGTGGAGATTGTACCGCAGGCCCAGGTCCAGTTCTGTTAGTGGTCCTTAACCCTTCCCTCTCCATGCTCCACATTGGACACCACATTTGTCCATGTCCATAGCAGGAGTCTCGTGTTGCTGATGATAGCTGTTGGGGTGGATGTAGGGAACTCTGGAAACTTAGTACTTATTTTTGTTTTGGTTTTTACTTTTTTTGAAACAGCATCTTACTAAATCCTGGGCTCAAACTTGTAACCCTCCTGTCTCAGCCTCCCACAGTCTGCACTGGGATTATACATGTGTGCTCTCGTGCTCAAGTTTGATACTTATTTTTAAGTGATTTTACTTTATTCTTATTATTTGGCGGTACTGGAAATTGAACTACACTTCATAGTGAACTACATTTGAGCCCCACTCCTGTCTTGTTTAAATTGCCCCACCTGGGCTTGAACTTGAAATCCTCCTATCTCAGCCTTCCAGAGTGCTAAGAGTACAGGCATGTACCAGCAACACCCGGATTGTTTTAATAGATAAAGCAACACAAATTAATAGTTTGTACAGGAAGGATAAGCACCAAATTCAGAGCAACTCTTATCTCTTCAGAAGGGTGAATATAGAGAGGGCTTTAATTGAAGTTCTTTTGATGCTGGGGATCTAAATCAGGGCCTGATATATGTTCAGCAAGGAGTATCTACCACTGAGCCACATCCCAGGCTTTCCCTTTCCCCCACCCCTAGTTCCTTGCTATATAGTTTGTGCTGGCCTTGAACTCTGTGTAGCCTAGGCTGGCCTCAAATGCACAGCAATCGTTCTGCCTCAGCCTTCCAGGTATTAGGATTACAAGAATGCGCCACGCTACCTTGTTCCCAAGCCCATCTTGTTTTATTTCTTAAACCTTACAGTAGAAAGTTAGGTATTTGTTATGTTCTCATTCTTGTTTGCCTGAAACCCAATTTTAAAAGGAAAGTGCACACATGGAAAATAATTTCAGAGGATAGAATGTGCGTAATAGTAAGGAAGATTTTTCCTACACTAGCCTAGAACCTGTCACCCAAGAATCATCCTGTATTGATAGTGTCTCTATTTACAATAATATATGTGTCAGTTCATGTTGGGAATTGATACATATACATACCCTTGTTGGTGTTTTGTTTCTGAGACAGAATCTCCTATGTAGTTTAGGTTGGTCTCGTACCCACTGTCCCGAAACAGCAATCCCCAGCCTCACAAGTGCTAGGATTACAGGTGTGCACCACTACACCAGCCTCTCCTATAATGATTTAATTTGTTAAACTTTTTTTGAAAAAAAAATGTAGCCTTCTGAAGCAACATAAGTTCTCTAGCAAAATTTTCTTAGGGTTCTCTCTGACTTGAGTGATATTCCTAAGCTATGTGCCTTTTTCCTTTTTTTACATACACACCTGCCCACCGTTATTTGAAATTAAATTGTGGAAAATTGGCAGAATAAAAGACTTTAGAATTCATTTGTTTGGGTTGCAAGAAAGTGCCTGCCTTCTTTCTAGGGAAGTAATTAAGTTAGATTTGGGGTAAGCACGTGTCTTTCACATCATCTAAAAGCCAAAAATATTTCCTTTTTCAAAATTCTCCTAGTTACACAGCTTTTACATAGAAGAGCTGGGCTTTTAACCCAGAAGGACTAACTCCAACAAAAATCTTGTATTTGCTAATTAAATTTGCTCTTGACAGTTTCTCCAGCAGCCATATCTGTTTAGTTCCACAAATGTGCTTGCTCTTTCTTGTCTGTGATGCCCTACTTGGAGCAAGTTGCCCTGTCACATTCCTTAAGTATTTTCAAAGCTAAATTCCTGAAAGTGGTGGTGTCACACTGCCTGTGGTACTGGGGATTGGATTTGGGGCCTTCTCACAGACCTACATCCTTAGCTCCTCCTCCCTTTTCCCCCTTAAATCTTTATTTATTTATTTATTTGTCTTTTTCGTTTTTATCAGTATCAGGGATCAAACTCATGACTGCCTGCTTGCAAGGCAGGCCCTTATGCCACTGAGCTAAATTCCCAGCCCCTATTTATCTTTGAGACAGGGTCTTGCTATGCGGCTCAGGCTGGCCTTGAGCTCATTTTGTAACCCAGGCTGGTCTTGAACTCACCAGGATCCTCCTGCAACGCCCGGCTTTTTTTTCCTTAAAGTTTAAGTCTTGCAAAGTGGCAAATTGCCCAGGCTGAATTTTTTTTTAGGGTAGGAAAATATATTGGAGAATAAGAATAGTTCCTGAGTGACAGGAGGGGTACCAAATGCGTTGCTAGCCCAGGTGAGTTTGAATTTGGTACTTCTGCCTTCGCCTGCCAGGGTGCTGGCGTTTACACGTGTGTCCCATCACGCCCACCGAAAATGGAACAAGTCCTTAACTAAAGGGAGTGTTTCACAGGGTGTTGGGTCTACATTTCTGTCTGGAAAATGAAACAACTCTTTATGCATTTGGACTCTGCAATGATTCTCTTTGCTAGTCTGTGTCACCGTCTTCTCGGCCACCGTGTTGGGCAGGAGAATCAGTAGATCTAAGCTTAGGCATTGTAAGAAAAGTGCTTCCATTGGGTAAGAAAGGGTGGGCACACCGGGGAATGGGGAGCAGTTCCGAAGGCCAACGGGTGACAGCCCGAGGGTGAGTGCCAAGTCTGACGTCACTGCAGCGCGCCGCTTCCGGTCCCCCGCGCGGTAGCAAATGATTTCTCTCTCGATGGGACCGGAGCCAGGCTTGCCCTGACCCTCCAGAGCCCACGATCGCAGCGCATCTGCCCAGAGCTCGCCAGCGCCAGCGTCCCGCACGCGCCCGGGACCATGGCCACTGACTCGTGGGCTCTGGCGGTGGATGAGCAGGAAGCAGCCGCCGAGTCGGTGAGTTGGCTTCACCTGTAGAAGGAAGTGTGGGGCACTAGTTCTGGCCGGGGTCTTGGTCCATGGGAAAAGACATTCTCTAAGTTGGCAGTGCAGGGCTGGGAGGGGAGAGGAGGGATGAAGTCTCAACCTTAAACTGATTATCCAGCCACCTCCCAAGTTATGTAAATACAGGTGGGTGCTCCCTGCCTGTTTTCCGGAGCATAGCTTGCACAGAATGACCCTGGAAGGTACACTACTTTCTTTCTTTGGTGTCATTTTTCACCTCCAAATTCAGGACTTTTTGGGAGCAGGAACCTTGTCTTACTCTTGTTTCTGTGCTTTCTGCAACATGCGATTAGATGATGGGCACAGAAATCAGGAAATCTCTTGACATGCTTAACTTTGTTCTTTTTTTTCTAAGCCTGATACATTGTAAAAAAAAAAGATAGGAATTAAATATTGCTATGTGGAATTAATTTCCTCTCCCTAAACATTCTAAATTCTGATAGGGCTTCAGTTAATATTCAGGAACTCACAGAATTATCTTTTTTTTTATACAAAAAATTTATTCTGACTCAGAACTTTATTTTTATTTTTATTTTTTTGTCTTTTTCCTTTTTATCGGTACCTGGAATTGAACTCACGACTGCCTGCTTCCAAGGCAGGCGCTTATGCTGCTGAGCTAAATCCCCGGCCCCAGAACTTTATTTATTATTTTTTTTTAATTTTTTTTTTTTGTCTTTTTCTTTTTTATCGGTACCGGGGATCGAACTCATGACTGCCTGTTTGCAAGGCAGGGGCTTATGCCACTGAGCTAAATCCCCAGCCCCAGAACTTTATTTTTTATAGCTGATAAAGTTATGAAACAGTTAATGAAGCCTGGTGTGGTGGTGCAGTACTGCCTATAATCATAGCACTTTGGAGGCTGGGGCAGGAAAGTTGCTGTGAGTTTGAGGCCAGCTGTGGCTATACATTGAGAATATTTGTCACAAAAAATAAATAAAAAGTGAAAGTTATAAATGTGTGTTTTTTTTTTGTTTTTTTTTTTTTGTTTTTTTTTTTTTTGTCTTTTTTGAGACAGGGTCTGATTATGCAGTTCAGGCTAGACTTTTTAAAAGCCCACACTGGTATTGAACTCACGACAATCCTCATGCCTCAGCCTCCTGCATCCTGGGATTACAGGAGTACACCACCACACCCAGTTGAATGTACATATTTTAAAAAGAAATAGGTTTTTAAAACAGTGGTTCTGCCAAGCACAGTGACATAGGCCTGTTATCCCAGCACTCAGAAGGCTGAGGCAAGATGATATAATCAACTATATAAGAAGATCCTGTTGCAAAAAAACAAATCACAACAAAACAAAAAGCTAGTTGTGGGCTGGGATTTAGCTCAGCAGTGCAATGCCTGCCTGGTGAGTGTGAGGTCCTGAGTTCATCCCCTGAAGCAAAGAGAGAAACAAACAATCTAGTGGTTCCCAGCTGTTTTTCTTCCCTGAGGCAATTGTGTTTTCTCTTAAAACTAATAGTATCAATTACCTTGCCTAAGTAATATTCTTGTTTTATTACTTGAACTTTTTGATATTTATTGATTTTTGACTCCTTCCTTTGCCATCACACATACATTTTTATAGGCTATTTTTCCTTGTAATACATTAGTATTACATTGTAATAAATTAGTATTATTTATGTTGTCATACTAAATATTACTAAATACTTTTTACTTTTCTCAAACATTTCATGAAATCTTTGCTGTTTTTGCTTCATGATTGATGGATTCATTTTGTTCGGTTTTTGTTTTTTGACATAGGGTCTTGTTCTATAGTGCAAGCTGGCTTTGAACTCACTCTGTAGCCCAGGCTGGCCTTCAACGTGTGATCTGCCTGCCTCAGCCTCCTGAATGCTAGGATTACAAGCATGTGCCACCACACCTGGCTGTCCTCTCAATTTTTAAAGCATTGTTCTGTTACCTTTTAGGTTTTTATTTTATTTTATTTTTGAGGCAGGGTCTCACACTGTGTTATTCAGGCTCGTCTTGAACTCACTGTGTAGCTGAGGCTGGCCTGGAAGTCACAGCAATCCTCCTGCTTCAGCCTCTGGGTGCTGAGATTACAGGTGTGCACCCCAGAGCCCAGCTCTTAGAGTTTTATATTTGTTGTTGAGCGTATGAGAGTATTCTGACTCTTGCTATGTGGCTTGTTCTCATTCTAAACTTGGACAATCTTCTGTTTGTCACTATTATTTAGAAAAGTCATAGCTGATCACAGCTGCCTTTGTCTGCTGTCCCAGCTGCTCAGGACACTGAGGCAGGAATATCACTTGAGTCCAGATGCTTTAGGACTGCCTGGGTAAGAGAAACTCTTTCTCAAAAAAAGAAAACTCATGAGAAATTCAGCCATATTGTTGCATGTATTAAAGGGTCTCTTTTTGTGATCCCCCCACCTTTGGTGATACTTTAGTACTTGGGAGACTGAGGCAGAAAGATCATAAGCCAGCTTAGGCAATTTAGTGAGACTCTGTCTCAAAAATTAAAAATAAAAAGATCTGGGTGTAACTCATTGATAGAATACCCCTGAGTTTGATCCTCAGCACTATAAAATAAAACAAAAAACTCTCTCATTAAATGTCTCTCTCTCTCTCTCTCTTTTTTTTTGTCTTTTTGAAACAGAATCTCACTGTGCAGTTCAGGCTGGCCTTGAACTCACAGAGGCCCTCTTGCCTCAGCCTCAGAAAGGCTGGGATTACAGGCGTGCACCCCCATGCCTGGTTTGAATGTTTTTATGATTAAATATTAAAATGCTCTAATTTGTACCTCAATTTACACACTTCAATACATATTTTAGGTATTAATTATCATCATAGAATTACGAACTAGCCTCTCCTATAAATACTACCAAGAAATCAGTCTGTGTATCTCTATTTCCCTCCTCTCCTTCCCACCCTCTCTCCCTCTTTTCCTTATAGAGTCTGTTACTGGAGAGTTCAGTTGATGAGAACAAAACGGGTTTTGGGAACCTAGCGTTTCTTTAGTGTATCCTATCTCCTTGTCCTCCCTGTCTCCCCAATACTGGGGATTAAACCAATGGCCCCACATAGCTAGGCAGCTATTCTGCCACTGAGCTACTTCCCCAGCCCTCTCTCTCTCCTAAAAATTCTTTCGGTGCATGGTGGCATACATCTGGAATCCCAGCACTTGAAAGGATGAGGCAGGAGAATTGCTGTTGAGTTTGAGGCCAGCTTGAACTACATAGTGAGACCCTGTCTCATACAACAAAACGAAACAAAAAAGACTGTTCTCTGTCCTTCAGAATTAACGGAGAATTTTTATGACTTCATGATGATTTCTTTGCCATTTTCCTTCCCAGTTGTCTTTCCAATATATATCCCCTCTACTTCCATCTACCCCAAATCGGTATAGGCCAAGACAAGAAACTTTGTGCCAGTTCCATGAGTAAAAATGAGGCCCCTTCATTCCCAACGAACCACCTCTATGGCCAGCTTTCCCGCTGCTGGGACAAAATACCTGACAGCTACAGCATAAAAGAGGAGAGGTTTAATTTGACTCACCTCAGATTTCAGCCCATGATTGCAGGCACCAAGGCAGGAACATCATGGCAGAAGAGGGCGGGGAGCAGAGTTGTTTACATCATAGCAGCCAGGAGGCAGAGCCCTGGAGAAGAGCACCAGCTAGCAAGACACTCTCCAAAAGCTACACCGAGGCCCTGCTCCTCCAGCTGGGTGCCACCACCTCACAGCGATTCAGCTGTGCACAACCTTGTTTTTAATTCACCGAGGAATGTAGCGCCTCCACGACCCAGTCACCTCTCAAGGAGGTTTTTTTTTTGGTGCCAGGAATCGAACTCTTGACCTCGAATTTGCGACACAGGTACTTATGCCGCTAAACTAAACCCCCAGCCCTTATCCAGGAGTTTCTTAATCCTGTCAAGATGGGCCATAGAGAGCACACCTGTAATCTGAGCACTCAGGATGAGGCAGGAACATCACAACTTGAAGCCAAGGCTGGATGGTCTAACAAAATCCTGTGCCAAAATAAAGAAGTATGGGGATGGGGTGGGGGGGTTGCTCAGGATGTAGTTCAGTGTGAAGGCCCTGGGATCAATCCCCAGTCCTACAAAAATAAACACATAAATTTTTTTTTTTTTTTTTGTCTTTTTCCTTTTTATCGGTACCAGGGATTGAACTCACGACTGCCTGCTTAAAAGGCAGGCGCTGATGCTGCTGAGCTAAATCCCTAGCCCCACACATAAATATTTGAAAAACAACTTTTTTTTATTCCTGTCTCTCTACCTTTCCCCTTTTATTCTTGGACTTGGAGGAAACAGAAATGAGCCTCAAGACATGAAGAATTTGGTGGTAGTTTGAGACAACGATTTCTCCATGCATGATGGTGCATGCCTGTAATCCCAGCATTGAGAGACAGACAGGAAGATCACCACGAGTTCAAACCCAGCCTGATGTACATACTGAAATTCTGTCTCCGAGAATTGGGGAAAAAAAAAAGAAAAGAACTTTTTTTTTTTTTTTTTTTTTGTCTTTTTGAGACAGGGTCTCACTATGCAGTTCAGGCTGGCCTTGAGCACACTTTATAGCCCACGCTGGTCTCGAACTCGCAATGATCCTCCTGCCTCAGCATCCCAAGTGTTAGGATTACAGGCGTGAGCCACCACACCCAGCTTGAAAAGAACTATTTTATTGGAGTGGCTTTTATTTTGTTGTTCTTTTTTTAACTATATACTGAGACTCAACCCCCCCCCATTATAGAAATACCCTTGCAAGATATTTATAGTGTTTGACAAAGTCCTAATGATTTTTTCATTGAAGTGTTTCTTTGATCTGCCTCTTCCTTTCTAGTCCCACTTCTGGCTGGTGGATATTTTGAGGACATAGGTGTGCCTTAGGATATTCCCAGTTAAAATGTTAGGCACCCAGCACAAGGCAGCTTGAACCTGACACTGCCTGTCAGCATGCTGCAGTGGTTTGGCTCAAACATATCCTGCAGCATAACAGACCTACCCACAGATGCCTTGAATTTGTTATTCAGTTCTCTGTCTAAAGTGAGACTGCATTGGTCAGTCAGTGTCACTTTAGATTTACTCATTTGGAACATGAGACAATGACAAGTGTAAGGATATGCCACTGAGTCTTTGTAATTGGGGCATTACACAAACTCATAAATTATATTTGTTTCTACAAGTATAATTGGGAAGTATAGATTTCAAGCCCCTTGTAATTATTTTTCTTCCTACTGCTGTATTTATAGGAAATTTTATTTATTCTCATTTAAATACTCAATAACCAGCTGGATGTAGTGGCATATGTGTGTAATAATAGCACTTGGGAGGCTGAGACTGAAGGATTGTCTTTAAGTTTGAGGGCAGGCTGGACTACATAGTGAGTTCAAGGCCAACCTGAGGTACACAGTGAGATCCTGTCTCAAAAAACAAAAATAGGGGCTGGGGATTTAGCTCAGCAGCATAAGCACCTGCCTTGCAAGCAGGCAGTCGTGAGTTTAATCCCCGGTACGGATAAAAAGGAAAAAGACAAAAAAAAAAACAAGCGAAAGGAACCAAACAGAACCACCTAATGAATAAGGCATTGCTAGTGAGTATATCTAATGAATAGATTTTAAGAATGACACTTTTCTTCCTTACGTTTGTTAGGGAGACTCAAAATATTGTAAGAGGTTTTCCTGACACTTATCCCTCCCTTTACCATTTTCTTCATTTAGTTGAGCAACTTGCATCTAAAGGAAGAAAAAATCAGACCAGATGCCAATGGTGAGTAAATAAACGCTAGTTTGGCAACAAATGTGATTTCCTTTAGTACTGTATTTCCGTTTTAGCATAACAACTACTTGGGGGGAGAAATCGTATTTGTACTAGACAGGTCTAGGAGATACTGACATTTGTTTTATTTGGGAATCAAACTGCACGTTTGACCAAACTGTGTTCTGTATAAGAAAGAGGATGTCAAAAGGGTTACAAATTATGTTTATTTCTTGTCATCAGAGTGTATTGCCAAGGATTATTTGGTGCTTTTTGAAAACTGTTCTAAATGAATGGGGGATGTAACATTTACCTTACTTTGAATTCATTTAATCTTTTTCTGAACATTTTTATAAGACTACATTATGTATTTATGCTAATCAACTAAAATTCTAGAGAATTTTAGTGACATTATGTTCACATATTGAGAGAACATGCTATGCACATACTCCTTTTTTTTTTTTTTTTTTGTTTTGTGACAGGGTGTCACTATGTAGTTCAGGTTGGCCTTGAACTCAGTTTGTTGTTGTTGTTTTAAACTACAACAAAATTTTAAAGCACATCAATTGAGAGTGAACTCAGTTTATAGCCCGGAGTGATCTCCAACTCAACAGCAATCCTCCTACCTCAGCCTCCTGAGTTACTGGGATTACAGATATGTGCCCTTGTGTCAAACCTGCACAGATATTTTTGTGGTTTCTGATCATAGCCATTGTAATTATCTTTCTGTACTATTGCAAAAATATTGATGCTGTGAGGGATAAGGGAACCTGGAATTTAATATAAGCAACAGTGTTTTAAAACTTTTTTTAAGGAGGATGGGCATGGTGGCACACACTTATAATCCTTACACTGAGGAGGCTGAGGCAGGAGGATTGCTACAAGTTCAAGGACAGTGTAAGCTGCCTAGCAAGACCCTGACTCAAAAAAAACAAAACCAAAAACCCTTTATTTTAACAGGGTCTTGGTTTCTTCTCTCTCTCTCTCTCTCTCTCTCTCTCTCTCTCTCTTTTTTTGGTTTTGGTCTTTAGGCATTTATATTTCTATAGTCCTAGAATTTGAGTTGTCTCCATTATTGGGTGGAGCATGTGATCTTGATTAATGATTACTTTGTCTGATAAAGGTGCTGTTGTCAAGACCAATGCTAATGAAGAAAAGACAGATGAAGAAGAGAAAGGTAACACAACCTTAAAGTTATATAAATGAGCTTCTAAAAAACCTAAGTTAGCATAGGTTTCATTTTTTGGCTCTTTAGTCTGAGTTGGAGTACTAGATTTTCAGTTTAATCAGTATATGAAGGTATTCTAATGGTTAACATTTTAGAGAAATTTTACATTGAATTACTGATAACTTCAGCAGAAAATATTCAGAAAATGTTCCCTGACTGATTATCTTGTATAGGCGTTATAAAGGAAATTTTAGCTGGGTGTGGGTGCACACCTGTATTCCGGGCCCTCTAGGAGTTTTAAGGCACTATCATAGCAAATTCCAGCTTAGGCTGGTCAACTTACCAACCCTGTCTCAAACTAAAACATACAGGAAAGGAGTGGGAGCTCCCTGGGAAGATCCTGGGTTCAATAATTCCCAGTACTTAAAAAATTTTAAGTGTAAGGGGCTGAGGATTTAGCTCAGCGGCATAAGCGCCTGCCTTGCAAGCAGGCAGTCGTGAGTTCGATCCCTGGTACCGATAAAAACGAAAAAGACAAAAAAAAAATTTAAGTGTATCACTATTATTTAATAAAATTAAACTCAGTGATACTTTTTCATATTTAACATAGATGACAAGATTTTTTTTTTTTGAGACAAGATCTTGCTTTGTAGTTTAGGTTGATCTTTTTTTTTTTTTTTTTTTTTCTTTTTTTTTTTAATTTTATTTAAGGAGAAAAGAAAAAAAAAGCAGGGAAAGGGTACAAGTTATACAGATTTACAGAAAAAAAATGAACAGTAGGAAATCACTAGTTAATGGATTACATATTGTCATCTTAGTTTGATCTTGAACTCAGTGTGTGTAGATCAGGGTGGCCTCAAACTCACAGTGATCTTCTGCCTCTACCTCCCAAATATTGGAAGTGCTAGGATTATAGGCATGTTTGGATTGGATGACAAGATGCAAACAACAAATACCTTATCAAGATACATATTTTATTAATTCTTGGGTTTTATTTTTCTTCATTGTGATGTATTTGTTATGCTAATAATTTTAACTATATATTAAATGCAAATTGGGATCTAGACAGGAGGAATAGATAACCTCAAAAAGTAGAGCTGGGCCGGGGATTTAGCTGAGTGGTATAAGCGCCTGCCTGGCAAGCATTAGGTGGTTAATTTAATCCCTGGTACCAAAAAAAAAAAAAAAGAAAAGTAGGGCTGTTGTAATAGAATTCTAAAGAATATGAGGCTGAAAAAGATTATGTATTATTATGTATAGTGGAGATTAAAGTCAGGGCCTTTGCACTGAACTACGTGTGTAGTCCTTTTTATTTTGTGAAACAGTCTCACTAAGTTGACCAGGCTCAAACTTAGCTTGAGATCCTCCTGTCTTGGCCTCTCATACAGACATGTATCATATACCTGGCTAATCTGTCTCCTTAATGAAATATGCTAAGCTAGACACAGTGCCAAATCACTGGGGGACAAGCTATTTTACTTTTTTTTTTTTGTACCAGAAATTGAACTCACAACCTCATGCTTACCAGGCAGAAAATCTATTCTTTATTTATAAGTCAAAACTTCATTGGGGATATAGCTCAGCAGCACAGTGCCTACCTGTCTGACAAGTGTGAGGTCCTGGGCTTGATTTCTGGTACCAAAGCAAAACAAAACACTTTGATCTACATTGAATTGGAAGGCCCAGTAAAATTCATGTTATTACTTGAGATATCAATGATGACTAAATTCAAAAGAGCTCATAGTAGATTTCACAAGCATTTAAAAGTCTTTGCCCTTTTTTTTTTTTAACCAACAGAGGACAGAGCAGCCCAGTCTTTACTCAACAAGCTGATCAGAAGCAACCTTGTCGATAACACAAACCAAGTGGAAGTCCTGCAGCGGGACCCCAACTCCCCTCTCTACTCAGTGAAGTCTTTTGAAGAGCTCCGCCTGTGAGTATTTACTTTCTGATTCTTCTTTCTGCATTTAAATAGAGATGCTCATAGTTTTTAATAGAGCAGAACATTGTTAGCTAATGTGAGGTTAATAAGTAGATTTGGCTGCTTTGGAGTATTAAATAAAATTTCCAGGTAATCCGTAAACGCTTTTGCTGGATTCACACATTATGTTTAACTCAGTTACTGTTATTTCCAAACTAACACTGAAAAACAATCTACCAGATGTTTTTGTGTTCATTAATCAAGGAAACTGATTTATATCTTTAATGGTTTTTCTAGAAAACCACAGCTTCTCCAGGGAGTCTATGCTATGGGTTTTAACCGTCCATCTAAAATACAAGAGAACGCACTGCCTTTGATGCTTGCTGAACCGTATGTATCCTGATACAACTCTTATTTTTTTTCCTCTCTCTCTCACCCTTCCTTCTTTCCTTCCTTCCTTTTTAGAACATGGTCTCAGTATACAGTTCAGGCTGGCCTTGAACTCACTATGTAGCCCAGGAAGAACTCCCAGTGATCCTCCTGCCTGAACCTCCTAAGTGCTGGGAGTATAGTCAGGGGCCACCATGCCCAGCATTTTTATGTTTTTAAGAACTTTTACTTTGAAGCTCCTTTATTTTTTATTTATTTATTTATTTTGTGTGTGTGTGTGTGTGTGTGTGTGTGTGTGTGTGTGTGTGTGTGGTACTGGAGACTATATCCAGTGCCTTGCATGTGCTAGGCAAGTATTCTGCTGCTGAGCTGCATTCCCTAGGCTAAAACTGTTCTATTATCCTGCTTCATTCTCCTAAGTAGCTGCATAATAAGCATGTGCCACTATAACTGTCTGTTCCTTATTTGTATTAAGTAGCAACTCCTTGACATGTGCACTTGTGAACAGTTTATTTTCCTGTTGCAGCTCACAGAACTTAATTGCCCAGTCTCAATCTGGTACTGGCAAAACGGCTGCCTTTGTGTTGGCCATGCTGAGCCAAGTAGAACCTGCAAACAGATACCCCCAGGTAAGGACTTGGTGAATTTGGTTTTCTTATTAACAAGTACCTAGAAAAAGCATTCCATTTGATGGATTAAAGTTTAGTCTGTTACGGCTCTTTCATAAGCTGGAGCTGAAGCACCCATGGTACTGTGGATCTTTCAGTCATAACAAAAAATCTTACTCCACTTTTCCATGATTGGATGGTTCTGGTTTACTGCTGACAGACATGATTCTCACTTGCAGGAAAAGCCTCTATCTGCAGCTGATTTTCTTTCCATTAGAAAACTGTCACAACTTTCTGGTGAAAAGGAAACAGATCTCCATTTCAGATCCTTGCTAATGGGAGGGATTTCATGCGTCAGTGGCCCATCATTGTTTTTAGCTAGCCAGAGTTCTGAACTCTGTGTATTCTAACTTACAACTCTGCAGCTGAAAGAGTGCAATCTTTTTTTTTTTTTTTTGTGGTTTTCGTTTTTATCGGTACCAGGGATCGAACTCACGACTGCCTGCTTACAAGGCAGGCGCTTATGCCACTGAGCTAATTCCCCAGCCCCAAGAGTGCAATCTTACACACTTTAAATACATATTCTTTCCTTGAGCCTCAGGTGGAAAAATGACTTAAGTTCTAATGGGAATTACCCTTGGTAAGAGATTTTTGTCACGAACTCATTCTACATTCTTTCCCTACCAGTGTCTGTGCCTCTCTCCAACATATGAGCTTGCCCTTCAAACAGGAAAAGTGATTGAACAGATGGGTAAATTCTACCCTGAACTGAAGTTAGCTTATGCTGTTCGAGGCAATAAATGTGAGTATGAGTATGTGATACTGAATCATTAACTTACTGGCATCATTTCTTGTTTTCTTTTCTTTTTTTTTTTTTTAATGATTTTTTTTTTTTTTTTTTTTTTTGTCTTTTTCCTTTTTATCGGTACCAGGGATCGAACTCACGACTGCCTGCTTGCCAGGCAGGCGCTTATGCCACTGAGCTAAACCCCCAACCCCCATTATTTCTTATTGGTATGAAAAATTCCAAATATACACAGTATTTAAAATAGTACAATAAGAATGTGATCATTATGTATATTTAAAATGTACCAGTAAAGTCTTGAAAAAGTAAAATAGTACAGTGAAGCCACACATTGGCATACATTTGTAATTTCAGCACTTTTAGAAATGGAGGCAGGTGGGTCACAGTTTTGAAACCAACCTGGGCAACTTATCAAGACCCTTTTCAAATAGCAGACCTAAAAAAATAAGAATAAAAGAACTGGGGATATAGCTTGGTGGTAGACATCCTAGGGTTTAAACAATCTTGGGTTCAGTTACCACAAATAAATAAGTAAATAAATACAAGCGAGTCAATTGTGGTGGACCACACCTATAACATCAGATAACCTCTCTGGGAGGCTGAGGCAAAACAATCACAAGAACAAGGCCAGTCTGCATAATTTAGCAACTCAGTGAAAGCTCATCTCACAAATTTAAAAAAAAGACTAGTAATATAGCTCAGTGCCACACACCCATACCAAATTTTTTAAAATTTTTATTGTTTATATCTATACCATATATTTTCATCATTTTTGTCTCTGTGTCCTAGGTGCTATCATTATCTTCCTCTAAAATACTAATGCAAACAAAAATAGTAAGCTTAAGATGAGTGTGATGATTCTTACCCGTAATCTCAGTACTCTGGGAGGTGGAGCCAGGAAGACTGTAAGTTTGAGCTGACCCTGGCAACTTGTGATTTAGTGAGACCCTGTCTCACACAAAAAATTAAAAAATCTTTAGGGATATAGCTCAGTGCAAAGGCTCTAGTTTAAATCTGCAGTACTAGCCAAAAACAAAAAGAAAAAATTAGCATTAAATGTGTAATATCTCAGAGGTTGGAAAGCTGACTTTTCCTTGGAAATACCCTCAGCAAACATCTCTTCTCCACAGTGGAAAGAGGTCAGAAGATCAGTGAGCAGATTGTCATTGGCACCCCCGGGACAGTCCTGGACTGGTGCTCCAAGCTCAAGTTCATTGACCCCAAGAAGATCAAGGTATTTGTGCTGGATGAAGCCGATGTGATGATAGCAACCCAGGGCCACCAGGATCAGAGCATCCGCATCCAGAGGTAGGAGCTCAGGCCAGGAGGAGCTCCGGGGCCTCCTCTTGCTTCTGTGGGGTTCTGTCCTCTGGGCCGTGCAGCAGTGTTGGCCTGCGGGTCACCTGCACATCAGCACTGACTGTCCTCCCAGCCTGGGCCATGACAGGACACCTGGGACCTCTGCCACCCCCATGCCTGCTGGGGTTCAAGCCCATCCGAGCCGGGGAGACTGGGCTTCTATGCCTTGCAGTGACACCTGGGGCCTTGCAGGATGCTGCCCAGGAATTGCCAGATGCTGCTTTTCTCTGCCACGTTTGAAGACTCTGTGTGGAAGTTTGCCCAGAAGGTAGTCCCAGACCCCAACATCATCAAACTGAAGCGCGAGGAGGAGACCCTGGACACCATCAAGCAGTATTATGTCCTGTGCAGCAACAGGGACGAGAAGTTCCAGGCCTTGTGCAACCTCTATGGGGCCATCACCATCGCACAAGCCATGATTTTCTGCCACGTGAGTAGCAGTGGGGGCTGTGGGGCTGTCCTGTCCCCTCCCTGGCTAGCCCCACCCCCTACTTCAGAGGATGAGATTCTACTGTGTGAAAATGAGACTCATTACTACCTTCCCTGGCATAGTTTTATGTTGAGTTTCAGGGGAAGATTTTGTGATGAGCCAAGTGTTCTTTGATCCCACTTCTTAGAAACTGCTTGGGGAATAAAAAATATAACATCAAATGAAATAATTTTTAAACATTAAGGATATGCCTATTTAGAAATGAAGACCTTAAGTCAAGGCATAATCTTCTAGAGGGAAAAGTAAGAGGAGTTAATTCATACAAACCATGTGGCTAAGATTCTGTGCATGAGAAATTTTAATCCTAATGTGCTTAGTGAATTATTCAGACGCTTGTATTTTAATTGTGTTGTTTTCCTGGGGATCTTTGCTTGATTTTTGTATTGGTCTTCATTCAGACCCGCAAAACAGCTAGTTGGCTGGCAGCAGAGCTCTCAAAAGAAGGCCATCAGGTGGCTCTGCTGAGTGGCGAGATGATGGTGGAACAGAGGGCAGCGGTGATCGAGCGTTTCCGAAAGGGCAAAGAGAAGGTGCTGGTGACCACCAATGTGTGCGCCCGAGGTGAGCAGAGACAGCCCAGGGCCCCAGTGGCGAGAGAAGTCTGCACATGCAAGAGGACACTGGGAGGCCGTCAGGGGGGTGGTGGCAACTGTGCTTTGTGGGAGAGCCCAGACTTCCTGCTCCAGCAGGAGGAAAACTAGGAGCCCAGGCCAGGTCGGGGGAGCTGCTCCCCGGGCAGCACCATGGATTCCTCTGTCTGCAGAGACTTTCCATTTCCCGGGCTTGTCGCACCTGCCAGACAGAGTCTGTCCTGCTCTAGCGCTGTTGCAGGCCTGCCTGTGCCATCTGGTGCCCACGGCCCAGAGGTCCCAGCCTCTCCTGCCCACAGTACGGGTGTGGCTGCCTTGACTGGGACTTTGTCTCCCACCCTGACTGCCTCACACACCCCGCCCTCCCTGCAGGTATCGATGTGGAGCAGGTGTCTGTTGTCATCAACTTTGATCTCCCTGTGGACAAGGACGGGAACCCTGACAATGAGACCTACCTGCACCGGATCGGGCGCACTGGCCGCTTTGGCAAGAGGGGCCTGGCCGTGAACATGGTGGACAGCAAGCACAGCATGAGCATCCTCAGCAGGATCCAGGAGCATTTCAGTGAGTCCTACCTCATCTGCCCGGCGCCCTTTTCAGAGGGGCAGGCGGGCACGGGGAGGGACCATCGTCCCTGTGCCTGCCCTTTTCCCCTCATGTCTCTGCCAGGCCCTGTGGGGAGCACATGTGGGGCCTTCAGGGCCAGGACTGGAAGGCCGGATTCCCGCTGGCCTGGTTGGGAGGCCTGGGGGACTCAATGTCGGTGCCAGTGACCTGGGCCCCGCCACCCTGCCCGGGCTGTGGACTCCTTTGTGCTCAGCTTCCAGTGAGCCAGGGGGTGGTGTTCCCAGGCCAGGCGGGGACTTTTGTGTCTGTCTCCCTGCTGCTGTCCCCTTCTGAGTGACTGGAGCTACAGCAACCTTGTGCTGGTCTCTTTCCCCCAGATAAGAAGATAGAAAGACTAGACACGGATGACCTGGATGAGATTGAGAAAATAGCCAACTGAGAAGTGCCCCGGTCCCTGGTTCCGCCCTCGTCACCTCCCCAGGAGGGATCCCAGTGCTCACACGGCCCCAGCCTTGACACTTCCCAGAGACGAAGGCGCAAGGAAGAAACTACCTACCTCATTAAATTATGTTTGGACTTGACCAAAACTTGTAGAAATGATGGGAAATGGTAGGTTAATTGTTCATACAACTTTGGAAGATTAGGCGTGAATACACAAAATTTACTTTTTGGAAATATCGTCTTTTTTTGGCCAGCATTTTCCTCACAATATGTTAATCTAAATCCTGTAGCTGATTACTTGTCCAGGATCCCTGCTGTCTTGGAGTGTGCAGGCCAGCTTTCAGAACATGTGAAAGCTATGTAGTAGAGGTGAAGAGGGAACATGGGGAGGAGCCCCAGTACGATGTTTGGAAGCCTAGTCATTTTGTCTGGAGGATGACATGAGGTAACAGAGCAGCCCTGTGAGCTTCTGCTTTGGACTTGGCATGGAGCAGATATGGCCAGATGCTGTGTCCTAAGGCCCATGCCAGGAAGCAATTTGCTGTGATGGACCAAAATGCCAATCTTAGACTTTTGTATGCAGGTTTGTGTCTCAGGACTGTGACTTGTTCTTTTCAGCAGATATAATCCACGTAGTGCACATTAGTGGTGGGTCCTTGCCTTGTGCTTAAGCAAGTTCTATGAAGTAGGCATCTTGAGAATCAGTAGTAACCCAAGCTTGCAACAAAACCTGTTTTCACAGGTCCTTGCAATGTCCTTTTTATATTCCTCACATCACCATGACCCATAGTATCCTTAAGAAACTAGGTAGTGATCTGAGATTTGAATTCTCAGTGAAAATCAAGGGCTTGTTTCTAGTGGCTAGTCTTTTTTTTTTTTTTTTTTTTTTTTAATCACTACCAGGCATCGAACTCATGACAGTACACTTGCAAGGCAGGCACTTACACTGCTGAGCTAAATCTCGGCTAGTCTTAAGGCAACCCCATATATGGTCAACAGTAGTCACAAATTTTTGCTTTGCCTTCAGATCCCACTAGACAGTTTTTGTCAGAGTTAGGGAATGATTACAGATATTTGGCATCTTGACTGTAAAGGGATTCTGAATGTCTGTGTTTACAGTGCTTGGAACATACACAGGGGCATTTAGGGACTACTTAGATGAACTGCAACCACTTACTATCCAAGGCAAAAGTCATCACCAGGTCCTTGGGTCTATCCTTACTTGGCCTTTGTGTACAGAACAAATAATAGAAGTGGACGTTTCTCCATATGTGGCTAAAACCATTGATACCCCTAGAATGACAGCACAGAGATGAAACTGATTTGCAAGAGTAGTCTGAAATCATAGCCCAAAGGGGTTCTCAGCTGTTTGGCCTTAACACAGAGGACCTGGAAGAGGAATTTTATGCTTTTCATTTCTGGGGGTATTTATGTTTTTGTTTTTTGTTTTTGTTTGGTGGTACTGGGGATGAAATCAAAGGCCTTGCAGATAGAGAGTACTCTACCACTGAGCTATATATCTAGCCATGGAAGAGGTTATAATGTGATGAGAACTATTTTCATTTTAGATCTTTCTCTTAGACATTTCTTTGTTTTAATATCAGATCACTTGGGAGGGGATTTGACCAATGTCAGCCTCCAGATGGTTTCCTTAACTCGCATTACGAAGAAGGAAATTGCCAAACTACCACTGTTCCCCATGGGTATTTGACTATGTAGTATTTCCGGTCAACTTTGACCCGTCTCAGGAGTCTCATAAGGACAAAAGGAATTCAATGCTTCCCTTGAAGTCCTGTGAACCAACCTTAAAATAACTAAAAACAAGGCCAATAGTTAGGCACATAAATGGCTGCGTAGGCGCAGACCAACTATACTCCTCCTAGCGCACATAAGCCATGTACTGTTGTAGCCCTAAGTCTGAGAAGGCAAATGAGTAGGAGTGTGTAGCAGACTGTTCAGTAGTAGAAGTAAGTAGGATTCTGGTTGAGGTGTGTATCAACAGTTCTTGATCTGGGGTCTTAAAAACCTCTAAAAAGTCACTGGATGAACTTCATCTATTAGATACATGCATTGGTTTGATATTTTCTTGATGATGCTCCCAAAGGATTATGCAACGTGAAAGTCTAATGTTGTGGATACCTCTGGAAAGTCACCCCAGTGTCACTGTGAACCCTGTTCCCTCAGTGTGTACTCATACCAGTGCCTGTCTCCTAGAGCTCAATGGTCTAGTTGCTTCTGTGACCTTGTGCAGTCTAGAGACATCAGTGATATAAAAATACGTTGTTTTGGGGCTGGGGATTTAGCTCAGCAGCATAAGCGCCTTGCCTTACAAGCAGGCAGTTGTGAGTTCGATCCCTGGTATTGATAAAAAGGAAAAAGGCAAAAAAAATACGTTGTTTGCTGAGCTTTTGTCCAGAAATTTTAATCAAATTCATTCATTTATATATGTCCACAAATGATAAATTGCACTCGAGAACAGAGAAGTAAACTCAGGAAATATTTGGTCCAGAGTGAAAAATTCTGGATGCCATCATTATCCACAAACTTTAGGATTTTATTAGATTTTTTTGAGTATCATTCATTCTGTACATAAGAACTAATGAATTGTTGATGTATTTTTTTTTTTTTTTACTGCTGTTAACTATGAAGAATTCATGTTACTAAGACATCATTTCTAGCTATGAGAAGGAAGTGCCAGCATGGTTTTTGTTGCTGTTATTAGTAATAAGTTAAAAATGAACATGTTAGCCCTGTTTTACCCTTTTTTCTGCTGATAAATGAGTGGATGTGAGCTCACCATTCAGGAAGCTGATGGCAGTCACATACAAAATCCTTTCATTCTAGTCTCTTGAGTCTTACAGAAAAGAATAGACATGGGCTTTCTTCCTGTGTTGCTTACAATCTCTTGCTCCTTATTTTACACATAGGCTATTTCATATAACTTGCCAGTGATTTTCAGAAAATAAGTATTTCTGAGGTTAGAGAAAGTTTCACTAGGGCTGGCGATTAGCTCAGTGGCACAGCACCTGCCTGGCAAGTACAAGGTCATGAGTTGATCCCCAGTATCAGGGAAAAAAAAGTTACATGAAAGACTGGAATTTACAAATAACAGAAAAGCAGGAATCTGAATGACAAAAAAGTGCCCCAGGCAGCAGAAAAGTATACTAAGAATAAAGGACATTCTCTAGGACAAAGGCAGCCTGGACATGGGGGCAGAGGACAGTCTCAGAAAATGATGATTGATTTAAATCATTTGATCACAAATTATATGTTGATCATTGATTGGAATGTTTAAACTATCTCAGTCCATTTGTGCTCCTATAACAAAATACCTGTGACTGGGTAACTTATGAAGAACAAATTCTTAGTTCTAGAGACTGGGAAATTAAGCATTAGACTAAGGCTGATGATGTTTGGGAAGAGCTGCTGTCTGTAGCTAACTTGGTACTTGGCTGCTGCATCCTCCAAAGGGGAGCACCATAGTGTCCTTACCTGGCAGAAGGGATGGAAGGCCAAGTGAACACTCCTCAGCCTTGGCCCCCTTTATAATGATGCTTATTCCAGTGCCAAGTCTGGTGGTGTATACCTGTATTCCCAGCTCTCAGGTGGCTGAAACAGGAGGATCTTTGTGAGTTTGAGGCCAGTCTGGGCTTCAGAGTAAGTTCAGGCGAGCCTGGACTACACGATAAGACCCTGTCTAAAAATTAAGAAAGGCTGGGCATATAGCTCAGTGACATAAGCACCTGCCTGGCAAGTACAAGGTCCTGAGTTTTGATTCCCAGTACCAAAAAGTAAAAATAAAGAAAAATTTGTAATTCCTTTTCACCCTCATGGTTCAGTAACTTTTGCAAAAACCACATTTCTTAGTACTTCAGTACTGTAGATTAAATGTCAATGTGAATTTTAGAGGAGTATCATTCAAACCATGGCAAGTGACACTTGGATTTAGTAATTTTTCATAGGTTCACAAAAAGGAAGTGATAAAATTAGTTTTGGGGGAAGACTGATCTGGCAGATGTTCAGAATACTGGATACACTGGAGGCATGAAAGCCTGGAACTGAGAAATAGGTTTCATTGCATTAGTCCTGTCATGCAGCCAGTGCTGAAGTGTCATTTGTTTTACTGAGAATATAGAAAAGAATGCACAGAAGGAATTGAGAAAGAATAGGCTTTTACACATCCTTGTTATTCCCAAGAGGATTTGTGGCTCTTTCTCTCCAGCACCCCCAACCCCACTACAAAATTAGTTTCACTGTATGCAAGAATTCTGGGAAGAAGCCCACAAGGTGAGAAACAGTAGAAAGTATGCAAACAGATGACATTAGGGTTGAATCTCCTATACCTTAGTGTGTATGATTTCAAGTCTGATGTCCATAAAAGGACCCCTAGGTATGGTGGTACATACCTATAATCCCAGCACTTGGGAGGCTTGAGGTAGGAGACCAACCTGGGCTACACAGTTGAGTTCAAGGACAGTCAACTATATAGCAAAATTCTGTTTCAAATAGAAAGGGACTGACGCCTCCTTTACCAACAAGCCCAAGGTACAGATTTCAGGGGCCCTCCAGGTTTCTTGTGGGCTTGGACAGACAATAGATTCTTGGAAACCTGTTGCATTTTTACATGAATTTGCTTTTCTGCTTGAGAATAAATATTCCTTATTTTGTTGCCTGACTCCTATTCTATTGCATCATCTTCCAAAAATGACTCTGGAGGTGAGGGTTGCTTGAAGGACTGTGCCAAAAGGCTTCTTGGGGGGTTGGGGATTTAGCTCAGCGGCATAAGCACCTGCCTTGCAAGCAGGCAGTCGTGAGTTCGATCCCCGGTAACAATAAAAAAAAAGACAAAAAAAAAAAAAAAAAAAAGGCTTCTTGGCCTTGCTTATTCTGAATCAGAGACCAGGCTTCCTCAGAGCAGCTTTGGACATCTAGTGTGAAGTCAGAGGCCAGACGAGGCCAGACAAGGGCAGTGGATGCTTCTCCCTTGCCTTAGCAGCTGTTCCAGCATTAATGTTCAGCAGGGCCACTCAGGGAATAGTAGTGGATGGCAAAAGGAATGTGAAGCCTGACAGTGGTGGCTGGTGCTCGGATGAGTAGCCCTTCTGCCTTAGCTGTATCTAAGGGATGAGGAGGGATAAGGATGAGGGAACAGACCTCTCTTTTATGCAGCCCTTTAGCCCAGAATTATGCCACCTTTTACTGAGGTAGTAAAGCGGTATCTTAGAACTTTCCTGGAAGATTATTTTTAACTGCTGTTACATCTTCATATGATTCCAGCATCCTTGGCATTCCCAGTTGAACAGGCAAATAGGTATAGGTTCTTACCTTGTTCCACTGCTTACACCAAAGGACAGCTCAGCCCTGGTCCAGTTGTATGGCCGAGTGGGGCCAAATTTATTGTGCTCTGGTCTATTTTTCTCTCAGACACTAGTAGTTACTTTTGAGAGTTTAACATCAAGGTCCCAATGTCAAAGCATTGTTTTGTTATTTCTAAAAGATTTAAGTCACAGAGACATCTTGCTCTATTAATCTGATTTCATTGTGTTTAACATCAGTGGAGTTTTTAAACTTCATCAAAACCTCCAATGCCTCCCCCTTCCTTCCCCTACCTCTCCTAGTACTGGGGATTGAACTCAGGGGTTATCAGCCACTGAGCTACATCCCCAACTTCTAAATTTTTGAGGACAGGATCTTACTAAGTTGCCCAGCCTACTTTCAGCTTGTGATCCTCCTGCGTTGTCTTCACATTACCTAGGATTGTACCCAGCCCCGGGGTTCTTTCTGGTTAACTGCCCACACTCCACAATGTCCATTTCCAGACTCACCTCAAACTTCCAGCTGTTGGCAGTTAATCACCCTGTTTCAAGAAATCAGTCAACATAAGGAAATTACCTCAATCTTCTACCACTGCTTTTCTCCATTAGGCACCTACCCTTCCCTCTTCCTCTTCTAATGGGAGAGGTGTCTCTGTAATCTTAAATTTCTCTACCAGTCCACCAAATTTCCACTCCTAGCTTTTTTTTTTTGGGGGGGGGTACTGAGGATCGAACTCAAAACCTTGCACTTATGCCACTAAGCTAAATCCTCAGCTCTCTTAGCTTTTGTCTTCATTGTCCCTCATATTTTCAACCTTGTCCAACCCATTAGCTCTTTATCAATATTTTAATATGTTCATACTTGATGACTAAAATTCTACTGTCCCTCTGTTCTTCTTTTTTTATTTATTTATTTTTATCAGTACCAGGGATTGAACTCACGACTGCCTGCTTGCAAGGCAGGTGCTTATGCCGCTGAGCTAAATCCCCAGCCCCTGTTCTTCTTCTTCTATTCTCATATTTCCTGATGGCCAAAAGTCTTAAAGGTTTGTTTCTATGGACTGTCTTACTCCTCCAAGTTTGCAGCCTGACTTCTGCCCTATGGCTCCATTGAAATAGCCTCCACCAAGGACGCTGATGACTTGCATGTCCAAAATTTGAAAAATGCGTTTTGATCATGTCTCAGCAGTTTTTGACAACTGAACAATCTTTTCTCCAAGTCAATTTTCTAGTGAGTGAAGTGACACCCTCACTACTGGTCTTCTTGTTCTCCGACCATTTCTCAGCTCTTTGGCAGACTGCTGTGTTCATTTCTTTTTTTTTAGGGATCGAACTCACGACTGCCTGCTTGCAAGGCAGGCGCTTATGCCGCTGAGCTAAATCCCCAACCCCTGTGTTCATTTCTTAAATGTAACTTCTCCATGGCTCTGTGCTACACGATTTCTTCTTCTAGCATAATTTTGTTCATTCCAGTGTCTTTGTTGTCAACTCCCAAGTCTATGCCAAGACTTAATGTTAAACTCTGATACAATTACGCACATGGCAACATAATCAGCACAGAACCCATCAATTTATCCCATCTCCAAACATCACTATTCCACAGACCCCACCATGCCCTTGAGTCTTCACAAATCAGCATTATCATCGCCTTTTGCTCACACCAGAAACCCAGAATTCATCTTGAATCTTTCCTCCTCAAAGCTAATCGTCATGAACTGTAGTTATCCATTGCTGTATCCTGAGTCAGCCCAACACAATGATTTAAGATAACTTTTGTCATGTGTCTGACGATTATGATTATCTGAATGACTCTAATGGTCTCCCTCAGGCTTTTTTTTTTTTTTTTTTTTGAGACAAAGTCTCGCTAAGCAGTTCAGGTTGGTCTCGAACTCAATGCGATCCTCCTGCCTCTGCCTCCAGAGGGCTGGGATTACAGGCGCGCAACACTATACCCGGCCTCAGACTCACCCATGCTGCTGCCTTCCACTAGGTGGTGTTGGACTTGGCGGGGTAAGCCAAGTCCTTCTGTGTGTTCTTTTAACTTCATGTCTTGGAAGGTGCTTTCTTGATTCCTTCTAAAAGGAGAGCGCTGAGACAGGAAGATCACAGGTTCGAGCCTGCTTCATAATTTATTTTAAAAGACTTGGGGACGTAGCTAAGAACCAAAGCCTTTTTAAGGAAAGAGGCGAGGGCCCAGGACCAGCGAGGCGCAAAGAATTGACGTCGCCCCCGCTAGGAACTGACGTCATCCTCGCGCACGGCGCTTCCGTTCCTCGTGAGCCGGGTTTCGCGCCGGCTGCTTGTGAGGGCAGTTGTGGAGGGGCTGAGTGGTGCAAGTTTTCTCTAGTTGCTTTCTCTTCTCCGGGACGATGGCCACAGACTCCTGGGCCCTGGCGGTGGACGAGCAGGAGGCAGCTGTTAAGTCGGTGAGTGGCTTCAGGCGGGAGGAGTGTAGCGGGCCCACGCGGACCTGTCCCAGCGCCGGAGCCTTCCGAGTTGGGCAGGCCTGCGGCCCGCACGCTCCGGCTATTTGCCGCGGGCGGTCACCTAGTCGGAGGTCCCGGGGCTAAAGAAACCAATACTGATATCGAGCTTTTTATCTTCCTCCAGGATAAAGTTCGTATGCTGCACTTCTAAAGTGCACCGCTTCTCTCCTGATGATGCTTAGGGAAGGCATATTTAGATGCTGATTCTTTTATGTTAAATTTTTTGGGGCGTCCTTGGGCCATTATATATATAAATTTTTTTTTTGTCTTTTTCGTTTATCGGTACCACGGATCGAACTCACGACTGCCTGCTTGCAAGGCAGGCGCTTATGCCGCTTAGCTAAATCCCCAGCCCCGAGCCATTTTATATTTAACGATTCTTCCATGATTAACACAGCTGGGTTTGTAGCGCTTTGTGGAATAACAGATTCGGGTTTACCCTTGAGTTTTTTTTTTTTTTAAGACTGAAGTCTCGCTCACCTGAAACTTGCAATCCTACCTCAGCCTCCGGAGTTCTGGGATTACAGGCAGGGATCACCATACCCAGCTCAAATTTAGATTTAATGTCTCAGTCAGCTGCAAATGTTGGAAGGAGACACGAATTGTTCGGTTGACGTTTAGTTTCATATATTGCTTCTTTTTATTACTGAAGGTCTTTACAGCTGGAAGGTGTCATGTGAATTGTTGGTTTGTGGCCAAGACACTAAGTTTAGGTTTGTTTGGTGATAATAGGTTTTTGGTTTTAAGAATGTAAACCCAGTACTTGAGAGACTGAGGTAGGAAGATCACATGGCCCAAAGTTGCAGGCCAACCTGGAATACATAGCAAGAGCTTATCTCAAACAAAACAGCAAAAAGAATGTAGGGTTTTGTTTTATGGTAGTCTTACCCAAGTTTTTTAACGCTTGAATTACATTTCTTCTCCAGCCATGGTTTGGTTTGATTTGGATTGTTTGAGACAAGGTCTTGCTATGTAGTTTAGGCTGGCCTAGGACTCACTGTATCCCAGGCTGGCCTCAGACCTGCAGCAGTCCTCTTCCCTCAATGCCAGTATCACATGGGTGCACCACCGTGCCCAAGCCTCCAGCCATGTTTATTGCTTCAGGAATGTATTCAGTTTGACAGCAGGAATTAATGGATTAAGCCCTTGGAAGTATAGGGAGCAGATTTACATACAGTCTAGGCAGAAAGGCTAGAATGGGGGAAATGTTAAGAAAATGGTAAGGATAATGTGATAAATGAGCTTTTGAGCAATTAGAACATTTTATCAGTAGAAAAACCATATACTTTCTTGTAAGCTGGATATTAGAAAGAATCATTTAAGACGGTATGTTAGTTAATTATCTCTTGTTGCTGAGACAAAGTACCCCTCACCCAAATTTAAGGAAGGAAAAGTTTATTTAGTTCATAGTTTGTGGAAATTTCAGTCCATAATCAGCTGCTCTAAGGCAGAGTAGGATGGCAGAGGAGTAGTTCAAGGTGGCAGAAGACAATACAAGCAACAAGTGCACAAGCCTCTTTTTTTCTCTTATACAGTAAGCAGGCTGCTAGCCCTGGGAGGGTGTGTAGCATTCATAAGATCTCCACTACCTCTTGCAAAGGCTCAAGAGGTTTACCAAGTGAAGACTGAGGCCCCTGCTGAGTCACTTAAATTCTAAACTTCTCAAGTTGACACAATGTATCAGCCATTACAACAGGTGAAGGCATTTTGGGACAGAAGGCACCAAAGTGTTGGACAGGAGTCAGAACTCATTTTTGCCCTAATTTAGGTTACCACGTTGAGTTAGGGACAGTATAGAAAATATGGCCGAGAATCTACTGTGAGCCTTAACTAAGAACTCAAAAATAAACGCTGTAGTTAGCAGGATTGCTGTGTTTGTTTGTTTGTTTGTTTGTTTTTAGGATTGCTGTTTTTAAGAGAAATACTGACAGATATTGGACTGCAAAGAGCAAAATAGATTCGAAGGCATGACTCCTAAGTGAAAGGAAATCAGTGTGCAGGTTACTCTGATTGCTGAGATTGAAGACGTATTTTGGGCAGTGAAAGTAAGGATGAAGGAGTGGAATTAAAAGATACTGTGAGGCATGGGATTTATAGCTCAGTGGCACAAGCACCTGCATGGCATTTGCAAGGTTGTGAGTTCAATTGTGGCACCAAAAAAAAAAAAAGATACTAAGACGGGTCATCTGAGACGGTCATGCCTATAACTGTAGCACTGGGTGGCTGAGGTAGGAGGGTCACAAGTCCAACCAGCCTGGTCAGGATTCTACTTTCGAAAAAAACCCATCATCTTTATCCATTCATTGGTTGATGGGCACTTGGACTATTTCCCCAAGATTTGGCTATTACAAACTGTGCTGCTATAAACATGGCTATGCATATATTGTTGTGGTGTGATGCTTTTAACTTTTTGAAGAAGATACCAAGCTGGGTCAAAATGAACCTTTAGTTTTAGTTTTCTGAGAAATCTCCATCCTGGTTTCCACAGTGACTGAGCCACTCCACTCCTACCAACAGTGGAGAAGGGTTCTTTTTTCTCCACAACCCCGCTAGCATTTGTTATTGGCTGATTTCTTGATAATAGCCTTTCTAACTGGAGTGAGATGGTATCTCAGCTTTGAATGTCTCAACCAGTGATGTTAAACATTTTTTCATACATTTATTTGCCATTTCTGCTTTTTCAGCTGAGAAGTATCTGTTCATTTCAGATGCCTATTTTTCTTTGAGTTTAAGTTTGGGAGAATGATTTTTTTTTTTTTAAATACTTCTTTATTCTACATAGTAAATCCTTTGAAGTACAGCTGGCAAAAATTTTTTCCTACACTGAGTTGTATCTTCCCCCTGTTGGTGGTATCTTTGTGCTGTGGAAAAGCTTTATTTATTTTTTTGTTTTGTTTTGTTTTGTTTGTTTGTTTTGTCTTTTTGAGACAGAATTTCACTATGCAGTTCAGGCCAGCTTTGAATTCAGTGATCCTTCTGCCTCAGCCCCCCAAGCCTTGGGATTATAGACATGTGCCACCACCATTTGCCTGGAAAAGCTTTTTAATAAGACAAGATCACATTTATTGATTCTTTTTTTTGGTGATATTTCCTGTGCAATTGGGGTTTTGTTCATAAAGCCTTTCCCTACACCAGTATCCTTCACTGTCTACACCAGTTTATCTTCTAGCAGATTTAGTGTTTCTGTTTTAATACTTAAATCTTTGATCCATTTTGATTTTAGTTTAGTGGTGGTGAAAAATATGGGTCTAGTTTTAATGTTCAGCATGTGGAAAGCTACTTTTTCCAACACTATTTATTAAAGAGGCTGTCTTCCAGTGAAGGTATTTGGCTCATTTTTGAAAGATAAGATGGTGGAGTATGTCTGGAGTTGTTTCTGCATCTTCTAATCTGCTCCATTGATCCTTTGGTGGTTTTGTTGTTGTTGTTTGACAGTACCATGCTGTTTTTTGTTTGTTTGTTTGTCACAGTAGCTTTGTATGTGTGTCTTGTTTTTTTGAGACAGGTTCTTACTACGTAGTCCAGGCTTTGGACTCACTATGTAGTCCAAGCTTCCTTCAAATTTATGATGATCCTCCTGCCTCGGCCTCCCCTAGGATTATAGGCACACACTACCACACATATAGCTCACCCCTTTTTTTCAGTCGTGTAGGCTCTTGTACTTTAACTCTGTGCCATGTCAAGACATTGCCTTCTGGGAGAGACAGGATTAATCATCAGAAGGCTCCTTGCTGAGAGAGAATTCAGAATCATGAACAATGGGGGGTTAATTGGCTGACTCCCCCCCCCCCAGTTCTGCAATCAGACTCGGGGAACACTAAGGTACATCCCCAGCCTCTTTCTTTCTTTCTTTTTTTTTTTAACCGGTACTAGGGATCGAACTCATGACAGCCTGCTTGCAAGGTAGGTGCTTATGCCGCTGAGCTAAATCCCCAGCCCCAATTTGCTAGTATTATAAGAGGGTGCCACCATTCTCGGCGTCAGTCAGGCTTTCTGGAGATCGCACTAAACAGTGTGGTCCAAAAAAGGGGACTCCAGATAGTCTCAGTCAGGTTTTCAGACCACCTCAATTGTAGTTATTCCAGCTCCATTGTATACATCCTGAAAATGGAGAGGAACCAGCCTGTTGATAAGACCTGGTAAAATACCTTCCTGGATCTGTGTCAGCCTTCCTATTGGCCATCAGAGGAAAGATGTCTACTCCTTAGGGATGTTTCTCCTGATGGAGAAAGTGCATGGCTTTGCTTTTTCTGTGGAAAAGCTGAGGTGAATACTAAAAAGCTCAGGTGAATACTCTTACTGTAGGACTTCCTTTTCCAAAAGGCCCAGAATAGTCAGTTGGAAAAGGTCGAATCGGGGCATGATTATTTAATGAAATGTATAATAAGCCCTTAGGAACCAGTGGTTACCAGAATAGTAACTGACTTTAGTAAGTCAGCTCAGGGATCTTGGGGGTAGGACATGGACCTGGGAGATGATTTGGAAATTCTCAGAATCTAACAGCCTACCTTTATAATACCATCTTTATAGCCCACTTTTTCCTCTTACCAATTCTTAGAAAGGAACTTTGTACCATTGAAAAGACATAATATTTAGTGAAGGTTAGGTATTTTAGGAAGAATATACCTGGAAGGAAAGCAGAGGTTTTGGATTCTTTTATATTCTTTCTCCCTTCCATTACATTTAGCACCCCACCAACCCCACAGGCTGCTGAAGGTATGTGGAATGTTTTTGCCCAGGATTTTAGCAATTCCGCATTGAGCAGAACAGACCAGCTTCTGACTATAGATGTACAGTGGTTTTTGCTGGCTGTCTTTGGGAAGCTCTGCCTTGCCCCAGCTCATCTTTGGCTGGGGCCTTTACTTATTCTGTTTCCTTTTGTTCCTATTCAGATGGGCAGTTTGCAGATCAAGGAAGAGAAAGTCAAACCAGATACCAATGGTGAGTCACAAGTGCCTATAGACGAGGTACAAGTTACACACGTGCTGTTTTGCCCTCATAGCTGCAGTGAGCAGTGGAGCTTTAGGGGCTTTTGGGGGGCGGGGTGCAAAAGACAGCACTAGAATCTAGAGCCCGAAATTAGATTTCATTACTGAAGGGGTAATGTGTCTATTTTCCCAATTTTTCTAACTCCTGACTCCCTCAGCATCAAGAAGTGTTACACCTGTCTGCTTACTGCTGTTACTGTAAAATATTTTTTAAACTTTAAAAAAACCGAATCTGGGGAGCTGGGGATTTAGCTCAGTGGCATAAGCTCCTGCCTTGCAAGCAGGCAGTCGTGAGTTCGATCCCCGGTACCAATAAAAAGGAAAAGACAAAAAAAAAAAAAACGAATCTGGGTTCTACACTCAAAGTGTAAAAGGTGTGAGGTGTCATCCCCAGTGCCCATGCTCTCGTTCCCTGGGGCTGTCCAGTGAAGCTTCTCAAAGCTGGGGGCTGTGAAGAGTAGTGGAGGATTAGCTCAGGGTTTGGAAAGCTTGGGTGTCAGCGAGGTTGGCTGCCTCCTGGGCAGGGAGGAGGACCCTACCCCAGGCCTGTCTTCAGTTCTCTGGTTTGCTGCAATTGGGGGTCACATGGTTTGTAGCTGAATGTCCCCGCCCCTGACTTCATCTTCACATCGCAACCCCCTGAGTGCATGTCTGGTGCCGAGTAGTGCTCCCCTTTTTGTGGTGCTGGAGATTGAACCCAGGGTCTGAAGTACACTAGGTAAGTGAAGCGTTCTCTCACTGAGGTACATCTCCAACCCTCAGTTTGCCCTTTTTATAAGGACCCAGTCATATTGTGGGGGTTTTTTAACTTTAAAATGTTAATACTTGCTGTGTGCAGTGGTACACAGCTGTAACCTCAGTGCTTGAGAGGCTGAGGCAGGATTGCTACGGGTTCAAGACCAGCCTAGACTACATAGTTCAAGACCAGTCTGAACTACGTAAGTGAGACCCTGTCTCAAAAAACAAAGAAAGGGCCAAGGATGTAGCTCAGTGACATGGTGCCTGCCCAGCAAGTGAGAGGTCCTGAGTTGGATTCCCAGTTCCAAAAAGCAAACAAACAAAAAATTACAGTCACATACATGACAGGCTGCAGTCTGTCCTGCTGCCAGTCATTGGATTAGGACATACATTAGAGCAGGAGTCTCCAGACTTTCTGCCTTTTCGGTGTGAGGAACCAGTTTCACAGAGGGCAGTTTTTCCACAGGAGGGGAGAGTTGCGGTTTCAGGATGCTTCAAACACCCTGCAGGGGTGTAAATATAGATAACAGTTGCTGGTTCACACGCTGCTCATCTCTCATTGTGTGGCCTGGTTCCTATCAGGCTGGTATAGGGTTCCTCCCACAAGTTGGGAACTTCTGCTTTAGAAACCTTAGCTTAACTGACTATATTCACAGTCACCCCATTCCCAAATGAGGCCACATTCTCAGGTACTGGAGGTTAGAACATGAATATAGGAATTTTAGGAAGACATAGTTCTGCCTCATCTTGTAAGTGACCACTGTTACAGTGTTTTTGGCTACATAGATCAAATTTCCCCACAGTTTTGTTACACAAAGCATATAGTACAAACATTGATTCTCAAGCCAGGCATGATGATGCATTCCTATAATCCCAGTACTCAGGAGACTGAGGCAGGAAGATTGCCGGTTCAATCCCCAGCCCCGCCATCTTTTGCTCTTATAAACAGTGCTTTATGGAATAACCATGAACTTAAATTTTTTTATATGTGTGTAGTGTTTTTGTGGGATAAATTCTCAAAAGATGTATAGGATAGGGGCTGGGGACTTAGCTCAGCAGCAAAAGCGCCTGCCTGGCAAGTGCACAAGTTGTGAGCTCAATACCTGGTACCAAAAAAAAAGATAATGGCATATACATTTGCAGTTTTTATAAATGTATTCAGAATACCTTCAATCCATAAGTTATTGAGAACCCGGCCAAGAGTCCTGATAGTCATTTTAGGAACCCAGCCAAGAGTTCCAATTGTCTATCTCTCAAATGCCACTAGAAAAATAAAAAACAGAGACAAGTATTTCTTCAGTGGCTGAAAGTCAGTGTCTCTGGATCTGACCTTTCCACTCCCAAAGCAGCCACTGTTTATTAGGTGTATACAGAGATAGATGGAGCTAGCAAAGGATTACAATTCATTCGAAGACTCCAACTCCAGAGAGCATATATAATCTTACGTTTAGAAGTATCTTGACCCAGAGTATAATCCTGTGATGACTCAGGAAGGTGTAGATGATTCCATGCTTAGAAGAGTCAATGGGAAATCCCAGACGGGATTTCCAGCAATCCCTGGGTGCCAACAATCCCAATCTTTCCTTTCATCCCACAGGGAAACATGCAACACCAGTCACAGTGAATTTGTGGTCCCCAACAATAAGTGTCAAACTAATTCATATTTCTAGCAGCACCACATCTGCTCCCTATGGCCTCATCACTAGTGTTTAATCAAGTTTATAAGTAAGAAATAGTAGGTGGTATTTTGTTTTTTGGTTTTTTGTTAGTACTGGGGAACGAACTCACAATCTCACGCTTGCTTGGAGGCGTTTGTGCCACTCAGCTAACTCCCCAGCCTGAAAGCTATATTTTAACTTAAGTAAATCAAAGTGACAAATTTTTCTTATGTACTTAACATCTTTCTGGAGGTACAATGCATTGAACATAAAGAAATGACAGTGTTTATATTTGGGTCACTGAAGCAAATTTTAGTGTTTTAATTGTCCCACCTTTTAGGTGGATTTAAAAATTGCCTTTCCAATGACAACTGTTTTTTTCTGTAGGTGTTGTCAAAATCAGTCCCACTGCAGAGAAGACAGATGAAGAGGAGAAAGGTAACCACTTGAAGCCCTGTGGTGGGGATGGAGCCTGAGCCCAGCCTTGCCTGCCTGGAGCTGGAGGCGCTGAGTTACAGATGAGTGGATGGAGGGTTCCACCAAGGAGACTGGGGAAGAGCCTTAGGGAGACAAAGTGGTGGTCAGGAGTGCTGTGTCCTGGAAGCCAGAGGAAATGTGTCCAAAGTAGTCTGTCAGCTAGAGGTAATGGAGTAATTAAGAGAACAACTAGAGCCAGGCTCAGTTGTGTTTTCTTATGGTCTCAACCACTTGAGAGGCTGAGGCAGGAAGATTGCAATTTTGAGGCCAGTTTGGGCAACATAGCAAAATCACACCTCGAAGAGAAAAATGAACTACAAATTAACCATTGGATCAATTTGGTATATGGAAATCATTGAGGACCGTAACAAGGGTTTTCGAGGGTGTTCATTGAACAGAAAAGGCAAGGAGAAAAAATGAATACAGATGGCTCTTTTAGGGAATGTTCCAGAAATAAGGGTAATGAATGAAACAGGTTTATAAAGAGAGAAGGGAGGGTAATGAATGGGAGAAAAGCAGGTTTATAAAGAGGTGATCAAATGAGTTCATGTGCTGTGGGAGTGGCCCAGTGAAGGGGATGGTGATAGTGCAAGGAGGCAGGACAGAAAGAGATGTCCCATGCACGGGACGGGGTGGGTCCCACGCGGGCAGGTGTGCAGCTGAGGTGCAGAGTGAGAATGTGGAGAACGTGAAGGCTTGAGGAGAGAGGGGAAGGTAGCATGGAGGTTTCAGGAGCAAGGTGAAGTAGTGGACCAGGGAAACTGGAAGACCTGCCGACTCGATCAGCCCACGCGAGTCTTGTAGTCAGGAATGTAGAAGGAGCTGGGTGCGCAGGCACTGCCTGTACTCCTGGCCCTCTGAGAGGCCGAGGCATCAGGAGCTCTACCCCTACCTGGGCAGTTTTAGCAATTTAGTGAGATGGTGTCTGGAAATAAAAAATAAAACAGGCTGGGACTGTAGCTCAGTGCAGAGGCCCTGGGTTCAACCCTAGTACTAAAAATTAGAAAAAGAATCTGAAGGGAGAGCTGCCACTGTGGTCATTTTCTCCAGCCATGCATGGACGCCCAGGTTCCCAGGGTGAGGGAGATAGAGCACTCTCACAAGGGTGGAGCTTAATTTTATGTAACTACAAAATCTCCTGGTTTCTTGGACAGAGGACAGAGCTGCCCAGTCTTTACTCAACAAGCTGATCAGAAGCAACCTTGTCGATAACACAAACCAAGTGGAAGTCCTGCAGCGGGACCCCAACTCCCCTCTCTACTCAGTGAAGTCTTTTGAAGAGCTCCGCCTGTGAGTATTCATTGCTCTCAACAGCTCTTCCTTTCTTGTCCCTCCCTATAAAGTTCAGCATTCAGACATTCTAATGGGACATTTACTTTTTAAATTTTTGTTTGTTTATTTATTTTAAAGGTAGTGAGGCTTTACATTTACTAAGGTAGGAAAAGAAACATGCTGCAGGGTGAGAACATCCACTAAAAGTGCTTACAGTAGCCTGAAAAAGTTCAGTGTGCTCACTTTGTGTAAGTTACAACTCACCAGCTTATCTGAATCGGAAAAGTGGGCTGAGCATGGGTGTAGCTCAGTGGTATAGTGCCTGCTTTAACTGCCTGAGCTCCATCTCTAGCAACACATATGCATGCACAGTGAAGAAATGTGAACAATCTCAGTGACAATCTTCTGCCCCTCTGTTTTTTTGTGTGTGGGTGTACTGGAAATCAAACTCACAATTTTGTGGTTGCCAAACAGGTGCTGTGCCACTGAACTATACCCCCAGCCCTTCTGCACCTCTCTGGGCAGCAGCCCAGTTCTTCTCTTTCTTTTTAAATTTTATTTTATTTTTCCTGTCTTCTTGAGACAGGGTCTCACTATGCAGTTCAGGCTGGCCTTGGACTCACTTTATAACCCAGGCTGGTCTTGTGTGTGTGATTTTGTTTTTTTTTTTTAACTTTTTTATCTGTATCAGGGATCGAACTCACAACCGCCTGCTTTCCAGGCAGGTGCTTATGCCGCTAAGCTAAATCCCCAACCCCCCGCCCCCCCCCCCCCCCCCCCGGCTGGTCTTGAACTTGCTTCAGCCTCCCAAATTCTGGGATTACAGGAATGTGCCAGCATGCCTGGCCTTTTTTTTTTTTTTGAGACAGGGGCTTGCTGTGTAGTTCATACTGGCCTTGAGCTCATGGCAGTTATCTTGCCTGAGCCTTCCAAATGCTGGGATTATAGCTTTAAGGCCATGTGCCACCACACCTGGCTAATAGGGTTTACACTTTTTTCTTTATGAGATGATGTGATTTATTTATTTACTTATTTTATTTTAAAGAGAATAAAGAACAGTAAAATGAAACAAAAGTGATAGGACAGTAGGAAATCCACAATCACTACTATGTGGTATATTGTTATCCTCTAAATAGTTGCTCAAATTAACCAGCCCCAGGCTTGCAAAGTTAGTCAAACAAGGTAAATGTCAGGTTGCTTCGTACTTCAGTTATTATCACCTGAGCCTGGGTTGTGACTGGTTGCTTATTGTGGGGGCGGGGAGGCAACTTCCTTGCTATCTCCCCTGCTGACAGGGCTGCTGCTGGTGCACAGGGGGCTGCATGTCTTCCTTGCTGGTTCTTCCTGGTTTTCTTATTTTTGCTAGATTCCTGAATTCTCTCTCTCCATCGGCTTCAAGTCTCAGTTCAGATCTTTGCTGTGTCCATGGGACTCACTTCTTTCCTCATGTTGTGTATTCCAGGATCTGGACACCAAAACTTAGAGAGATTTTTTTCTCTGCTGCTCATCAGTCCACCATTTTCCAGAAATTCCAGGGTTTACATTCTTTTTTTTTTTTTTTTTTTTTTTTTTGGTACCAGGGATTGAACTCATGACTATGTGCTTGGAAGGCAAGGGCTTATGCTGTTGAGCTAAATACCCAGCCCCCAGGGTTTACATTCTTAATAAGAGTTTGTTAATTACTTTTAGGAAGTATGTTAAAGGAGCCTATATTTCTATTGCCAAGAGTGGAAAGCAACCTTTTTTTTTTTTTTTTTGGCTTTTTGAGACAGGGTTTTGCTATGCAGTTGAGGCCGGCCTTGAACTCACTTTGTAGCATAGGCTGGTCCCAAATTTTCAATGATCCTCCTGCCTCAGCCTCCTGAGTGTTGGGATATGGAAAGCAACTTTTGACTGTTCCAATTAAAAAACCCAGAACCCAGAAATAAACATTACAGAAGGCATATTTTATGGCATTATGCTTAAAAAAAAAAAAAAAAAAAAGGCTTAGAAAGACCCATATCATGTGTCTTGTTTTCTTTTTTTTTTTCTTTTTCCTTAACTTCACTGCAGATGTATCTCGTTTTCTTCAGTAAGTAAAGTGGTATTTACAGGTGGTTTGGTTAATGTACATGCCATGTGCTGGCTGTTTGGAGGAGCATACCACATACCTACTATTCTTGCTGCCTGCCAGGGTCCAAATCATAGACAGAAGGTAGCTGGTGAGTAAGAATGTGGTAGAATAAATGGGTTATTTCCCTTTGTTGAGTAAAATATGTAGCATGGGTTGCCCTTTGGCACATAGGCTACATTCCTGTTGTTATTGAGTAAGAGAGCTAACTAGTTGGTGATGAAGTAATTGTACAGAACAAATTTTTAAAAGTGTAATCATTAAGTTTTTCAGGAAATTAGACCTCTGTATGTGTATTTCCCCTGTCTGGAACTTTATTCATTCTTAAACTTACCAGGGCTACTGATTACACTCTGTTGTTTCGATCAGTAGGTATTTTTAGGTTCCTTTCGTTTAAAAGAGTTGAGCTCTCAGTTGAACCACTAATAGATTGTCCTCTTGAAAGGTAGGTTCTCTCTGAGTGAGATATTGTAAGCCAAAAGAAACAAAGAATAGAATCCCAGTCACATCATATACTTAGAATTTTTATCCTTCAAATTTGAAATCAGGGGCTGGGGATTTAGCTCAGTGGCATAAGCGCCTGCCTTGCAAGCAGGCAGTCGTGAGTTCAATCTCCAGTACCGATAAAAAGGAAAAAGACCCAAAAAAAAAAAAAAAAAAATTGAAATCTAGCCAGGTATGGTGACCTGTGTTTGTCATCCCAGCATTAGAAAAGCTGAGGCAGGACTATCACTCAAGCTCAAAGCCAGCCTGGGCCACGTAGTTGGGTTTAAGGTCAGTCTGAGCTACATATCCAGATCTTATCTCAAGACACCAAAAAAAAAAAAAAAAAAAAAAAATTGAAATCTGCAAAGTAAAAAAATGAGTCAGTGGAAGCCATCAGATTGCATGAGTCTGATTAGGTAATAGCTTTTTTCCTTGACAACCAAATCAGAAACTGCCTTTTTTCCCCACTAACTGAAGACACCAATTACTTTCCCTTTTCAGTTTGTGTTTCAGAACTAATATATGCTAGAAGAATTTACCTTTTAGAGAGCCTGTTAATCTTTAGGAAAAGCTTAGAGAAGTGTTGATTTTTCAGACTTAAAGTGGATTTTCTTCCTCCTTCTTTTCTTCTGAGAGGAGAAAACAGAAGCTCAGCGTGTAGCAGGCTGGCCTCAAACTTGCAGCAGCCATCCTTCTGCCTCAGCCTCCCACGTTCTGGAACTACATGCAGGTGCCAGCAGCCTAGCAGCTTGGCTTTTCCTTAGAAACAATATACTGTGGTTTTTGTAAAACACCTTTCTGTTTAGAGGTAGTGAGAGCACATTGTAAATACAATGTAAGAGGAGTTCAATTAATGTTTATTGTGTAGCTGCCTATTTAAGAAGTTGGTGGCTGGATATGGTAGTGCATGCTTATAATCCTAGCACTTGGGAAGCTGAGGCAAAAGGATCGCCACTGCAAGTCTGAGACAGCCTAAACTACATTGTGAGACTATGGTTCAAAAAAACCAAAGAAGTGGGACTGGGGATTTAGCTCAGCAGCATAAGCACGTGCCTTGTAAGCAGGCAGTCATGAGTTCGATCCCCCGTACCAATAAAAAGAAAAAAAGAAGCCAGGCATGGTGGCACATGCCTTTAACTAGGAGGCTCAAGCAGGAACCTGTTCTTGAGTTCAAGGTCAACCTAAAGTACATAGAAAGACCTTATTTCCAAAAAAAAAAAGTTATAGTCTTGCTTTTTTTATTTTTTACTTTTGAAACAACATCTCACTTTGTAATGCAGATTGCCCTTGTACTATGTTGTCCAGGCTGGCCTTGAACTTATGGTGATCCACCTGCCTCAACCTCCCAAATGCTGAGATTATAGCCGTGCATCACCACACCTGGCTTTGTCTTTTATTTTTTGTGATACCAGAAACTAAAACCAGAGACTTGCATATACTAAGCAAATGCTCTATCACTGAATTATATCCTGAGCCATTTTTAAAAAAATTTTTTTTGAGACAGAGCCTCACTAAGTTGCCTAGCCTGACCTTGAACATGTGGCCCTCCTGGAAGCTGCGGTTATATGCAGGGCACTACCACACCTGGCAAATTTGTCTCTGTTGTTGATTTTGACTGGACATAATAGCAATCTGAGCGTTTGTAAAGTTCATCCTGATATGAAACTCCTAACCTATTTTCTCTATATCCACTCCTAGAAACTGGCTTAATCAGTATTCTTTCTTCTTGGTTGTCTTGCATATTTGTACTGCTGTATTTAAAGAACCATAGAATACAGAAAGACTAGTCCATTTTTAATATCTATACCAAGAGATTAAAACTGAAATTGTGGCCTGTGGATGTAGCTCGGCGGTAGAGCTCTTGGCTGGGCACAGGCAGCACCCTGCGTTCAGTCCTTGGCACTGCAGAACACACATGCCCTACAATCCCTTTTCCTAATAAGTTTTATGTTATGAATTAATATAAGCTCTACTTTTGCTATATCCAGGGCATCCAAGGCCAGTCAGATTTCTGGGACTTGGAGCATGAATTTCTCCCAAGAAATCGAAAGGAAAACAGTCTGGTTTTTGTTGTTGTTGTTTTGGGGTTTTTTTGCACTGAGAATCAACTCAGGACCTCACACTTGCCAGGCAGGCACTGTGCCACTGAGCTCTACTTTATGAATTATATAGTTATTGCAGATTCAGATTAGTAGAGATAAGTTGGATATAGTGCACACACCTATGATTCTAGCACTTGGGAGGCTGAGGCAGAGGGATTAGGGGTTCAAGGCCAATCTGGACTTCATAGTGAGACTGTGTCTCACAAAAAACAAAGAAGTGATTTGGGTTGGTTTTCTTTTTGTAGCATTGGGGCTTGAACCCAAGGCAGTCACACTGAGGTACACCCTCAACCCGTTTTTATTTTGAGCTACGGTCTCCCTAGATCAGTAAGTTGCTCAGGCTGGGCTCAAACTCTCCCAGAGTGCTGTGATCATAGGCATGTTCTGTCACACTTAGCTTGAATTGGTTTTAGGTAGCATTTTCAAGATGTTAAAAAATGTCTGATAGAGGCAGGAGACATCATTCTTGCAAGATATAAGGGAAGATAGGATTATAAGCTTAAAACAATTTCAGCTACTACAGTCCATCCTATTTCTCCTTTTTCTCCTAGGAAGCCACAGCTTCTCCAGGGAGTCTATGCCATGGGTTTCAATCGGCCATCCAAGATACAAGAGAATGCATTACCTATGATGCTCGCTGAACCGTGAGTGAAGACCTGAGTGATCTCTTTGAAAGTTGGTTTACTAATGTCGCCATGAACAGTTACTGTTTCTGAGTACCAAGTGGACTGTTCAGGGGACATGTTTCAGGAAAACAACTTGGCAGGTACACACAGAATCATGGATTTGGGTAGAGTTCCTATCTTTCCCACTTAAAAGTAAAAACCCATGATAATACTGCTTTATTCTATTTAATACTAAAAATTGGCCTTTTTAGAAGTGACTTGAAGCTGGACCTGGTAGTGCATTCCTGTACTCTCAGCCTGCTTGGTGACTGAGGCAGGAGGATCACAAACCTGAGCCCATCCTGGGCAACTTAGCAAGACCTCATCTCAATGAAGGGGCTGTGTTGTTGTAGCATTAATATTGAGCAACCTGATACCAACTGGATTTCATCCTAAGATCAGTAACTCAGTCCCCCTTGGTTGCCTGTGGCCCTCTGTGTTCGACCATGGACCTGAGTGGTTTTGACTTCTTTCTCTGAACCCTGACCTCTGGCTGCCCCCACCCCTGCTGCATCACTGAACATATTGGCCCACATCTGTGATCTTGACCCCTAATACAAAAGCTTGGATGCCCCAGAGGAGGCAGGCAGCCTCCCAGCCAAGCCCCAAGAGCCAAATCCACAGGCTGGCCCCACTGTGAGAGCGTACCTAGGAGTGACTCAGCCCCCTGGGTCTGCAGGCCTGGTCCTGGGCCTTGAAATGTGTTGAAGGTTGCTTTGCTTTGCTTTGCTTTGCTTTGGTCTGCTGCTCTGCTCTGCTTTGTTTTTTGTTTGTTTTGTTTCAGAGATACTATAATAACACTATTTTTATTTTAAAAATAAAAGGGCTAGGGCCAGGTCTGGTGATATGCCCTTATAATCCTAGCGCTTGGGAAGCAGAAGGATCATCACCAGTTTGAAGCCAGTTTGAAGCCAGCCTGAACTACATAGAGAGACCTTGTGGGTGGGCGGCTGGGTTCAATTCTGAGTGCTACCATAGAAAATTATTTTGACATTTTTGAGCTCTGCAGAACAGATTTGAAGAACGATACCAGTACTATCTCTGCAGCCTTATCCTGACAAGTAAAACCTCAGTCCAGTTTTCTTTTTCTCCCTCTCCTACCCCACATCCTTCCCCTTCCTTCCTTCCTTTCACCCTCCTCTTACCCTTTTCTTTGTTACTTTTTTCTCCATCCTCTCAGCAAATAGAAAAACAAAAACAAAACCCAGGCCTAGTCGATATTCAGACCCCACAAACCCTTCTTTCCCTTGCTGTCTCCTGCCTGCTATGAGTGAGGTCCAACCTGGGCAAGTTGTTGTCCTCTCAGGTGTCTTTGCACTTTTTTTAAAAATGTCTACAATACCACCAATCCCCGTGACATAGATCACATGAAGTTCAGTTGGGGTTGGTTACCTGCATTTCCATGGAGATTGGAAAAGGGAACATGCAAAAAGAGCTGAGTCTTGGGAAAGGGTGTAACTCAGCAGAAATTGCCACTGAGGGTGCGTGTGGCACTGCTCTCATTGTGTGCTCTGCACTCTTGATTTCCCTGGGGCCCTTGGGACAAAACTAGGGCATTCTCTGCTAAGAGTCGTGGAGGATTGTTGTGTATGAACCCATCTACAACAGTTATTATTTCTTTTATATTAAAGCTGGGGTGTTTTGGTTTTGGTACGGGATTGAACTCATGACCTTGAGCTTACTAAGCAGGCACTTAAGCCACACTGCTGAGCTAAACCCCCAGCCCCTAAAGCTGTTTTTTTAATAATCTATAAAAAATATTTTCGGGGCTGGCGATTTAGCTCAGCGGCATAAGTGTCTGCCTTGCAAGCAGGCAGTTGTGAGTTCGATCCCTGGTACCAATAAAAAAGGAAAAATATATATATATATTTTCTTGTAATTTGTGCTCAGTGCCAAAAAATGGAACAATACATAGAGGCATAAAGGGGGAGAATGTCCCTTGTCTCCTCAGTGAATGGTTTCATGCTTCACTTTGCCAGGAGTCATTTCCTTTCTGTCCCTCCTCTATCCAGGCCTCAGAACCTAATTGCCCAGTCTCAGTCTGGCACTGGAAAAACAGCTGCCTTCGTCCTGGCCATGCTCAGCCGAGTGGAACCAGCAGACAGACACCCTCAGGTGGGTGAGGTGGGGACCCTGGCTTACCTGCTTTAGAGGGGACACCTGTGATCCCTCAGGTGTCCCCTCAGGAGCAGTGTGTTCACCCAGCTCCACCAGGCAGAATCCACATGGAAGCTGCAGCCCCAGCAAGCCAGTACTCCTCCAGGCCAAGGCTCTCTCCCGGAGACTTGGTCCACACCCGAAAGGAGGGCCTGGCTGAGGAAGAGGTAGTTCTGGTTCCCTGTGCCGCTGGTCAAGGTTGTAGTCTTGCTAAATTCATCCTTTCTGATTTCTCCATCAGTGTCTGTGCCTGTCCCCAACATACGAGCTGGCGCTGCAGACAGGTAAAGTGATCGAGCAGATGGGCAAATTTTACCCGGAGCTCAGGCTTGCTTATGCTGTTCGAGGCAATAAATGTGAGTGCAAGGGATGCGATCTAAGCGGGGTGGTGGTGCTAGGTGTGTGATTTTGAAGATGTGATGATATGTTCAGCTTTTACTTCATTCTGAACGTAGAGCCCTGTTGCATTGCTCTCAGGAAATCAATTTAAGTGTGGACATTCCTTATTCAATAACTAGATTCTTTTCCTGCAACTCCATTGCTAAATGAGATATTATATGTAGTATGTACATTATAATATTTAGAACAAAGAAATGGTCAAAGAAGGCTGGGTATGATGGTGCATGCCTGTAATGCCAGCACTCGGGAAGCTGAGGCAGGAGGATTGAGGTGTGTTTGAGGCCATCTTGAGCTGTACAGTGAAATTGTCTCAAAAAAGAAAGAAATGGTCAAAGGAATCTCCAAGTGAGAGACTTTTTATTTGCATAGCTCTTATATGTAATACTATAATATATAAAAAAACATAAAACTGTAGTATTGAACAGTACAATCAGCAAAAATTTCAGTACTATATGAAAAAACTGTATAGTACAAAAAGACACTAAGACTCTTAGCAACAAGATATGCAGAACTGTGACAAAATAAGACAGGTCCTAAGTGCAAGTGGTATGCCTCAGTCATGAGTCTAAACAGTTTAAACAGGTCAGTCTTAAAGAGGAATATCTGTGCTTGCTGATCTGTTTACAGTTCTCTAGTGGCCATCCCCTCCAAAATCCTGGGGGCACATGCCCATCGTACACATGCTAAGCAGACACTCTACTGCTGAGCTACTTCCTAGCCTGCCTCTCCTCTTCAGTGTTAAGATTTTAAGTTGTTCAACATGAAAATTCTGCAAGGTTCCTGGAGGTTGATCCTCCTGCCTCAGGCTCCTGTAGTACAGTTCTGCATCTGGCATTCTTCACTAAGACAGGGTTTTGAGTTCTAGGACCTGCAGGGGTGGCAGGTTGGAATCAGATTCCTTAGCAGTAAGCACCAGCTTTAGTAAAGAAGAAACTAGCTGTAATCACAATCAATAATCCTTCCAGTTCTTTCTTCCATGTGTTCTGCAGATATCATAGAGAAAGTTCAGGTTAAAAGGAGCGGGAAGAGGTTTTAAAGATTCATTAGAAGGTTATCAGTATGTAAAATACTTTCCATACAGCAAGAAAAACCAAGCAGTCTACTATCTACTAGGACAGTGAACAAAGAGTCTCAGTTGAACCAGCTCTTCACATGGCTACCAGAGTAATGCAAAAAGATCCCGCACCTCATCGGCTCTCAGAAAAATAGACAAGTTTGCCCCTTGGCCCCTCTTAGCTGAGCAGAAGCTGGGGTCTTGGCAACAGTTGGACACTGCCTGGAGGAACTCAAGAGGGACACCCTTGTGACCCACACAGCCTTGATGGTCTTGTGTGCCATTCTCACTGTAGGGCCTCAGCATTTTCTCACTTTCACTTTGTTTCTGTTATGCAGGTTGTGTCATAGTAGATGCTAAAACAGAACTAGAGAAACTTTCAAAGACATGTTTAGTAATTTAAAAATAACATAGCTCAGTGGTAGTCTTTGCCTAGTATGTGTAACTCAACGTTAATATAAATAACAGCCAGGCATGGTAGCCAACACATATAATCGCAGAAGTTGGGAGCCTGAAACAGGATTGCTGCAAGTTCAACACTAGCTTGGACTACATAGAAGAGTTCCAGACCATCCTGAACTACATAGCAAACAAACAAAAGATAATAATATATCTTTATGAATGCTACACCCAGACTTAACAAATGGTAATTAAGGTAGTTGCCCATACATGTAATTCCTGCATTGGGGAGGCTGAGATAGGGATTGTCATGAGTTTGAAGCAGCCCAGGATACATAGTGAGTTCAGGGCTATCTTAGGTTACATGGAGAGACTTACAGCAAACAAGAAAAATTGAATTGCAGGTACTATCACAACCAGATTCAGCAGAGAAGTTAATGCACTTGGGAGACTCACTTGATAGCACTTACAAGTTTTACAAAATTTAGAATTTCTTTTGGTAGCTCAGGTGTTATAGTGACAACAAATGCAGTTGATTTTTTTTTTTAATTAAAGAGACAGCTTTTTTCTCCCATTCTCAAGCTTTCTTTGATCATTTCAGAAAGCATATATCAAATTTTCGTTTTTTTTTTTTTTTTGGTCTTTTTCCTTTTTATCGGTACCAAGGATCGAACTCACGACTGCCTGCTTGCAAGGCAGGCGCTTATGCCACTGAGCTAAATCCCCAACCCCCAAATTTTCAACTTGAGTATCTCTTGTTTGCCTATCAGTTTACAAACAAAACTGGGCAGTTTATTTCACCATACAAATAATAAAAATGGGCTTTTTCTGAAGAAAGTCACGGCATTTTGTTTGGCAAGAGTAACAAAAGCACTGTACCCAGAAATTATGGGTACAGTACTCAAACCAGCAGGCCCAGGTGCCCAGTGGGGTGCACAGAAGTATGTGCCTGCTCTGGGTGGTTTCTGCCACGCCCTTCACTCTGTGTGAGGGGCTGGCGTGATCACTGCATTTCATAGCACTGGGGAGACACTTGATTTTATTTTCAGGCAGTGGGCACTGGGAAACTACCTTTTTGTTGTTATAAGGGGTTTGAACCCAGGAGTACTCTGCCATTCTGCTAATTATATGTATATCTTCTGCCTGTATATGAGATATATGTATACCGTTGTGTCTTGTGTGGGGGGGGGCATACATATTTTTTTGTGTGGGGAGGGTACTGGAAATCAAACTCAGGACCTTGCACTTGTCAGGCAAACATTTGTGCTGCTGAGCTATATCCCTGCAATTATATATGTATTTTTGAGATTATCTCACATCTATTCCTAATCATTTTCATACTTTATTGTTGTCAACCATTAGGTGTTTCATATTTTGCAGATCAATTACATGTTGTGTGTGTGTGTGCATATTTTGTGTACATTGCAAAGTTTCTGATAGTGAAAGTGTTGTTCAGAGGTTATGTGCATTGGTGATTTTGATAATGGTTGTATCAGTTTCAAGTTAAACCAGCTTGAGAGTCTGAGAGCAATGTAGTGTACACATCAGGCTTGGCAAATGCTGCTATCAAGTGCAAGTTTCCCTGTGTGTGTAAACCTCTCCCATGAGCAAGATGGTATTACTACTAACACTTGATTTTTTTTTTTTAATTTTTAAATTATTAGTACATGTTGGCAGTATATAATGCTAACCTTTGTTGTGGGGAGTTAGTGCATGTACATTTAGTTCCTCCGGCACCCCTCGCCCCTTTTTTGAGATATGGTAAGCTATCTCACCATGTAACCCAGCTGGCTGGTTGAAACAAGTTTGAGAGTATTGTAGTACTTTTTTTTTTTTCCATTTTTATCGTTACCAGGGATTGAACTCATAACCGCCTGCTTGCAAGGCAGGTGCTTATGCCACTGAGCTAAATCCCCAGCCCCCACTGTAGTACTTTTTAAATCAAAAAGTTTGTACTTACAGGAACTAGCTAACATAAGCGAAATCACTGGAGACCAAAGCAAAAATATCATTGTGCTAAGATCCTGGGAAAAAAGACTTGTGTCAGGTGAAATTATAGGAGAAAGTAAAATGGAAATGACATCTGCTGAGGGGCCTCCATGTGGAATTTGATGCTGATCACAGGTCCCTTAGACAGGTATCATCCGACCCACGTCATAGTAGAAGAAAGCAGAGGCTTAAGGGTAGAACTTCTGCAGTTTGAAGTCTGGAATTACTCTGTTCTGCTAGTCCCAGAAGTACAGGCCGGGCTTTGATTTCCAGAGCAGGCTTTTCCTTGGACACACCCTCAGCAAACATCTCTTCTCCACAGTGGAAAGAGGTCAGAAGATCAGTGAGCAGATTGTCATTGGCACCCCCGGGACAGTCCTGGACTGGTGCTCCAAGCTCAAGTTCATTGACCCCAAGAAGATCAAGGTATTTGTGCTGGATGAAGCTGATGTGATGATAGCAACCCAGGGCCACCAGGATCAGAGCATCCGCATCCAGAGGTAGGAGCTCAGGCCAGGAGGAGCTCCGGGGCCTCCTCTTGCTTCTGTGGGGTTCTGTCCTCTGGGCCGTGCAGCAGTGTTGGCCTACAGGTCACCTGCACATCAGCACTGACTGTCCTCCCAGCCTGGGCCATGACAGGACACCTGAGACCTGTGCCACCCCCATGCCTGCTAGGGTTCAAGCCCATCCGAGCTGGGGAGACTGGGCTTCTATGCCTTGCAGTGACACCTGGGGCCTTGCAGGATGCTGCCCAGGAACTGCCAGATGCTGCTTTTCTCTGCCACGTTTGAAGATTCTGTGTGGAAGTTTGCCCAGAAGGTAGTCCCAGACCCCAACATCATCAAACTGAAGCGCGAGGAGGAGACACTGGACACCATCAAGCAGTATTATGTCCTGTGCAGCAACAGGGACGAGAAGTTCCAGGCCTTGTGCAACCTCTATGGGGCCATCACCATCGCACAAGCCATGATTTTCTGCCACGTGAGTAGCAGTGGGGGCTGTGGGCCTGCCCTGTCCCCTCCCTGGCTAGCCCCACCTACCAGATTGCACTGTAGGGAGAATGGAAGTGGTTTGTGAAGATGGAACAGTTTGCATTAGCATTTTCTTATGACAGTGATTTCTCTTGTGATAGCGTCTTGCTTTGTAGCCCAAGTTGGCCTCGAACTTCCTGCAGTCCTCCTACCTCAGCTTCCCAAGTGGTTGGACTACAGGTGTGCAGCCCTATGCCTGGCTCTGTACTAGTAGCATTCTGAGAGATACTGAGCCTAAACATAAAGCTTCCTGAACTGCATACCTTATTGGTAAGTGATAGTGTTATCAGGAAACCCTAGAGAAGCTGCTATTCTAGGAAATAAATTTAATAAGATGGTTATCAAATTAATATAGTTACCAACAGGAAACACTTAGAAAATAGAAAGCTCATTTATTTATAATAGCAAAACCAAATTTAAACATATATAGTGTGTATGTGTATGTATATACTATACATATATATACACACACACAGCAGTTTTTTTGTTTTTGATTTTGGTATCAGCTAGTGAACTCAGGGCTTTACACTTGCCAGGCAGACTTGCACTACTGAGCTATATCCCCAGCCCCAAGTTTGTTTTGTGAGACAGGGTCTCACACGTAGTTCAGGCTGACCTTAACGCTAGCCTAGACTGGTGTCAAACTTGGGGCAGTCCTTCTGCCTCAGCCTCCCAAGTGCTGGAATTACAGATTTACACCATCATGTCTGAGTGTTTTTTGAGACAAAGTCTCACTATGTCGCCAAGACTGACCTTGAACTCGAAGTTATCCTCTTGCCTCAGCCTCTCAAGTGCTGTGATTACTGGCATGGACCATCACACCCAGCTAGAGTGTTTAAGATCGCTGAAAAACACTTCAAAATAACGTTAAGGAATATAAGAATAAGACAGTTCACCCTATGTTGGTACAAGACTTATTCCTGTGATTTTTAGAGGTATTTATGGTTTGTTTTTGTTCTCAAAGTTGTGTCTTTGAGTTATAACTCAGAGTGCATCTTTACACAATGGACTTAATGATCATGGCTTTTGTTTTAATATTGCACTTCTTCAACCCAACTATCACAACATATCACAAGCTTTAGATATAAGGCCAGGATATAGACAGCTCGGTTAGTATCAAGTGCTGTGGTTTTGTTTTTTTAAAGTAAAAGTTTATCTCTCCCAACTTCAAATTAAAACAGTCAAACCTACAAAAAAGCTAGGGAAAAAAAAAGACTTAAGGCCTCTCTGCCTGTCAGCATTTGGCCACTTCTGCTATAGCCATTTGTGTGTGTAGAAGTTTCTTTTTTGCTCAGTCATTGTGGAATTAGTTGTAAATGTGCAGTTCACCTAATCCTTAAGAACAAGAGGTTTTCAAACCCACATGACCACAGTGCCATCTTTATATCTTTCCTAATGATACAGGAACATTCTCCAGTTCTCCTCCCAAGTACTCTACAACTGAGCTACATCCCTAACTCTTTTTATTTGGTAAGATAGGGTCTTGCTGAAGTGTTGGACTTGCCATCTTCCTGCCTCAGCCTCCCAGATAGCTGGTGTTATGGACATGGCACCACGGTGCCCAGCTTGGTCATCACCTGAAACACAGTCCACTGATGCCTTTTTCTGCATGTGCAGGATGTTTCTTAGTGCATTTTGTTGTTTAAAGCTATGAGCCAGTCCAGGCTTATTCGTTGCATTTTACCATGCTGTCTCTTGAGACTCCCTTTGCCTGGAACTCCAGTCCTACCTCCCACTCCCAAAAATACCATTTAGAACACGGCCATCTTAAAAGTCCAGCCTAGGGGCTGGGGATTTAGCTCAGCGGCATAAGCACCTGCCTTGCAAACAGGCAGTCATGAGTTCGATCCCTGGTACCGATAAAAATGAAAAAGGCAAAAAAAAAAAAAAAGTCCAGCCTAAGAGCCATGTGTTATTTCTCCCATTTCCCACTTACAATCTATTCAGGTTCAATTTAAAGATTTATGTAGGGGGGGCTGGGGATTTAGCTCAGCGGCATAAGCGCCTGCCTTGCAAGCAGCCAGTCGTGAGTTCGATCCCCGGTACCGATAAAAACGAAAAAGACCAAAAAAAAAAAAAAAAAAAAAAAGATTTATGTAGGTATGTATGTGCCAGGTGCTAGGGATGGAACACTGGGTCTTTACACTGGGCTACATTTCCCGGCACTTACTTGTTGTTTGTTTGTTCCCAGGACCTTCACAGTGGGCTAAATGCCCAGACCATTTGCTTTTCCTTTTTTGTTGAGACAGCTGTTAAGTTGCCCAGGGTGAGCTTAAATTTGTGGTTCTCTTGCCTCAGCCTCCCAGAGGGCTGGAATTACAGGAATGTGTCACTGTGTGCTTCCTTGCCTATTTGTAATACCTGGGAGTGAATCAAGGCCCTTCAGGCTGTGTTGCATCCCCAGGTGTTCGTTGTTTTTGTTTTTTAACAGCAAGATCAAAGATTTACTTGAAAGAGAAAAGACTATACTCTGCAGGGTGAAACAGGGCCAGTGTGGAGAGAATTCATGGTTTCGAGCCCCTTTTTTCAAACAGGATTTCCAATAGCTGCCCAAACCAGACTGGAATTTGCAATCTTTCAGCCTTAGCCTCCCAGAGTGGAGGGATTACAAATGGGTGCCACTACCATTCCTAAGTAGGTAAAATACTTCTATAGTAGAAACGTTTCTGAACAGTTACCCCGATGATCCAGCTCCGTCTATTATACCACACCAGGTTGGCGATTTTAGGAAATTTAACCCTTAGCTGCAAAATTTTAGGTCATCTTCCAGATCAGAGAGTCCTCTGAAGTTCTTAGCTTTCTCAAAAACACTTTTTTTATGTTCAGACCCGCAAAACAGCTAGTTGGCTGGCAGCAGAGCTCTCAAAAGAAGGCCATCAGGTGGCTCTGCTGAGTGGCGAGATGATGGTGGAACAGAGGGCAGCGGTGATCGAGCGCTTCCGAGAGGGCAAAGAGAAAGTGCTGGTGACCACCAATGTGTGCGCCCGAGGTGAGCAGAGACAGCCCAGGGCCCCAGTGGCGAGAGAAGTCTGCACATGCAAGAGGACACTGGGAGGCCGTCAGGGGGGTGGTGGCAGCTGTGCTTTGTGGGAGAGCCCAGACTTCCTGCTCCAGCAGGAGGAAAACTAGGAGCCCAGGCCAGGTCGGGGGAGCTGCTCCCCGGGCAGAACCATGGATTTCTCTGTCTGCAGAGACTTTCCATTTCCCGGGCTTGTCGTACCTGCCAGACAGAGTCTGTCCTCCTGCTCTAGCGCTGTTGCAGGCCTGCCTGTGCCATCTGGTGCCCACGGCCCAGAGGTCCCAGCCTCTTTCTCCTGCCCACAGTACGGGTGTGGCTGCCTTGACTGGGACTCTGTCTCCCACCCTGACTGCCTCACACACCCCGCCCTCCCTGCAGGTATCGATGTGGAGCAGGTGTCTGTTGTCATCAACTTTGATCTCCCTGTGGACAAGGATGGGAACCCTGACAATGAGACCTACCTGCACCGGATCGGGCGCACTGGCCGCTTTGGCAAGAGGGGCCTGGCCGTGAACATGGTGGACAGCAAGCACAGCATGAGCATCCTCAGCAGGATCCAGGAGCATTTCAGTGAGTCCTACCTCATCTGCCCGGAGCCCTTTTCAGAGGGGCAGGCGGGCACGGGGAGGGACCATCGTCCCTGTGCCTGCCCTTTTCCCCTCATGTCTCTGCCAGGCCCTGTGGGGAGCACATGTGGGGCCTTCAGGGCCAGGACTGAAAGGCCGGATTCCTGCTGGCCTGGTTGGGAGGCCTGGGGGACTCAATGTCAGTGCCAGTGACCTGGGCCCCGCCACCCTGCCCGGGCTGTGGACTCCTTTGTGCTCAGCTTCCAGTGAGCCAGGGGGTGGTGTTCCCAGGCCAGGCGGGGACTTCTGTGTCTGTCTCCCTGCTGCTGTCCCCTTCTGAGTGACTGGAGCTACAGCAACCCCATGCTGGTCTCTTTCCCCCAGATAAGAAGATAGAAAGACTAGACACGGATGACCTGGATGAGATTGAGAAAATAGCCAACTGAGAAGTGCCCCGGTCCCTGGTTCCGCCCTCGTCACCTCCCCAGGAGGGAGCCCAGTGCTCACACGGCCCCAGCCTTGACACTTCCCAGAGACGAAGGCGCAAGGAAGAAACTACCTACCTCATTAAATTATGTTTGGACTTGACCAAAACTTGTAGAGACAACAGGGGACAATCAAAGGAAATCACATTTTTGGAAATACTCTTCTCTGCACCTTTCAAAGTCGTGATGTGCCCTGTCCCTCCAGTAGTCTGCTTTCCATCGATGTGACTGGCTCCAGACCCCCCTGCCTGCTGTCTGGCTGGGGTGCTGAGACCAGCCTGCACCCTAAAGTGAGAGGTGGACATCTCTAGGAGGGCAAGACCCGCCCAGCCACACCCGATGCCAGGAAGAGTTGGCTGCAGGGCCCTTGAGCCAGCGGCACTGCAGGACCTGTCCGCGAGGGTTTCCCCATCATGGGGTTCTTCTGAAATTAGAGATGCCAGCACCCCTTCCCTCGGCTGTCTAGAGCAGATGCTTTCCTGCTTGCTCTCGCGTGAGCATCTTGGTGCTGTGGAGAACTCCCAACTGGGACCTACAGTGGCAGGTGGCTCCCAGCTCCGGAGAGGTCCCAGGCCTGGTGGGCGAGTCCATGAGGCTCCGGCCTGGCTTCCCCTCCTCCCCGTTGCTCCATGGAATGGAACCCAGGAGACTCCCAGGTGTTCATGGAGCCTCACCTGGCCCACTTATGTGGTACTGATTCATAGGTATCCTTCCTCTGGAGAGGAGGTGTCAGCCTGTGTGGGCTCCGGTGCGGCTCTACCCACGCCGTGGCCTTGATGGATTTCATAGTTCATACACGGTATGAGTAGGGATAGAACTTTATCTGCGTGCATCATTCAGTATAAGAAATTTTAAATGTAATTATGAGAAATGCTTTACTAATCATGACTTATTTGTATTTTTCTGCTTATTAGGCTAATTTATGCTCATTAAAAAGACTGTGTATATAACTGGAAAGTGCTCTCTGACCCCTCCCCAGGGTAGGTCACCTTTGCTGCCGGCTTGCTGGATGTTCTGTCTTATTGCCCGCTGTGTACAAGAATAGGGTTAGGGCAGCTGTCTCCAAACAAGGCTTTTCAGTCCAGATGCTCATGGACAGACATCAAGTTAGGGATTTTAGGGATCCAATAAAGAATAAATGGCACTCCTAGGGTTGTTTTGTTTGTAGTGTTGGGGACTGAACCCAGGGCCTCCTCTACACTAGACTAGTCCTCTACCACCGAGCTACACGCCCAGCCCCACCTGAAATTGCTGGTCTTTTTGTTCATTTGAGACAAGGCTTTACTATATTCCAGCCTGGCCTGGAACTTAGTATGCAACCGAGATTGGCTTCAAACTCGCAGCAATCCTGCTTCAGCCTCCCAAGTGGGATTACAAGTGTGCACCACCACACCACAAGTCCTAAAAATGTTCCAGTCTTAAATATAGCCCTGTAGCCCTGGCTGACTGAACTTGAGATCCTTTCGCCTCAGCCTCGGAGGTGCTGAATTAAAGCGAGTGTCACTACTCCCAACTTAATTACACTATTATTGAGAATAAGGGCAATGCAGATCTCCCAGCAAGCCCCAGCCTGCCCGCATCCCAGGAGTGGAGCCAGCGAGACAACTCAGTGGCTGCAGGGCAGCGCGAGCTCCTGCTAGGGGGAACACACAGCGGGTGCGCACTCTGTCTTGGGGCTGGCGGGTGTGGGCTGCATCCTGGCAGGCGCTGGCTGCGAAAGGAGCCCCTGGAGAGCGGCCGGGAAGGCTGGGACACCGCCACCCCTGGGAGATGGTGGCTCTGGGGCAGCAGCGTGGCAGGCGCTCGGTTCACAGCGGCTTCTGGTAGCGCTCTCCTCGGAGTATCCTTCCTCGGCCGTGGGGCTCAGGGACCGGGTCGGAGCATGACGAAGGCCAGGACGGACAGGCTGGGCAGCAGGCAGGGAAGGCGCTGGGCCACGGTGACACCGCAGGAACCGGGACAGGGAGAGAGGACGGGAGCTGCTGCAGGCACCCGGGCTCTGCAGACTGGGCCTCAGGCTCCCAAGATCCAGACAGAGGAGCTCCTGCCCTCACCCAGGACCTCGAAATAGTCGGCAGTTCTTTATTACACTGTGAATAAAAATGCAGGTTTCAGGGGCTGGGGATTTAGCTCAGCGGCATAAGCACCTGCCTTGCAAGCAGGCGGTCGTGAGTTCAATCCCGGGTACCGATAAAAAATGAAAAAAAAAAATGCAGGTTTCTGCAGATTGACACAATGCAACTTCATTTCTTGCTTTTGTGAAGCTTTTGTTTTTTGAGATAGTTTCACAATGTAGTTCAGACTGGCCTCGAACACACAGCATCTTTCTATGTACTGCAGGCTGGCCTCAAACTCACAGTGATCCTCCTGCCTCAGCCTCCAGAGTGCTGGGATTGCAACTGGTTGCTCCTATGAAGTCTAAAGTTGATGTTCCTCTTTTGTTGACTCTACTGGGTACTTTCCTCTTTGATTCCTTTCCTTTATTATTGTTAGTGACATTATTATTTTAACATTTTCCAAGTATTCTTTTTTTAGAAATAAGGTCTATGTTGGGCATGGTTGGTTTTGAGCACAGCAATTCACCTGCCTCAGTCTCCCTAGCACTGGGGTTAGGCACCAGTACTGTTGTTTACTAAAATCCACACTTTAGATGTTTTTTTCTCCTTTCCTTTTTCTGCTATAGGGTCTCATATTACATTTAGCTACTTTGGGTGGGTTTTTTCCCCCTCATGGTACTGGGGACTGAATGCAGGGCTTCTGCACTGAACTGTATCTCCAGCCCTTTTAAAATTTTTTATTTTGAGACAGGCTGTTGCTAAGTCACTATGTTGGCGAGGCTGTCTCCTTTCCTATGACAATTTACACTTGTCACTGATGACCCTGAGCGTTTTGTGGTGTATTGGTAGATTTTCTAAGATAATCCATTATTAGAATTTGTCCATTGTTTTTATGGGTTACTGGAAGACCAGAGGCAAAGCAGTGTTTTAGCCAGGTATGGTCATGTACTCCTTGTAATCCCAGCACTCAGGAGGCTGAAGCAGGAGGATCACTGTGAGCTTGAGGCCAGCGTGCAGTATGTATAAAGATCTTGTCTTTAAAAAAAGAGAGAAAATAAGTTGTGTGTATCTGTTTTGGTAGGGGAGGATAATAATAATCACCGATTCCTAATTCACACTCAAAAAGGGATCTTTTTTTTTTTTTTTTTTTTTTTGTCTTTTTGCTTTTTATCGGTACCAGGGATCGAACTCATCCAACTCACAACTGCCTGCTTGCAAGGCAGGCGCTTATGCCGCTGAACTAAATCCCCAGCCCGCACTTTTTTTTTTTTTTTTTTTGAGACAGGGTCTTGCTGAGTTGTCCAGGCCAGGCTGTAACACCCTATCTCCCTGCATCAGTCTTCCAGAGCACTAGGATTATAGATCCTCACAACATCCTGGCTAAACACAACATAGACACTGGTACTCTTTTTTTTTTTTCCTTGCAGAAAAAGAACCAAACTCAAAAGCTAGATGTGAAGAAAAAAAAAGCTAGGTATGTTGGTACAAGTAATCCCACCACTCAGGAGGCAGAGGCAGGAATTTCTCAAGCTTGTTTAATTTATTGGTACGTAATGCCCACATTCATCACAGGAAATCTGCACTTGTACATGCTGATCTTGATGGGTGTTGACTATCCTGGAACCCCTTGTAACATAAATATGTATGTAGCCTGTGTTTCATTCTGTGGTCATAACCCTCGGCATGAGATTGGTGGTCCTAGGCTAGGGCACTTTGAACCAAACAAGGTGGCTCTCTAGAGACTCACTCTGGGCATGGCCACTGGCACCTGTGTGAACTCAAGGAAGTGTGTCTTGACAGAGTCCTAAGAGTCAGTGTGGGTCATCAAGATCAGAAACCCAAGCTAGATGGCACCACAGGACACCTGGGGCCCTGGTGACAGGGAGCAGAGCGCTCTGGCAGGCAGATGAAAATGGCTCTTGTGAGATGGGAACTCTGGTGTTTCAAAGCCCCTAGGAGCTTGAGGGTTTGTCCTGCAACATAACCCAGGATCCTCAGTGCCTGTGCCCTGGGGATGACCAAGTCTCCTAAAGATCCTCCTGCTTCCGCCTCTCAGGTGCTGGAATTATAGCCATACATCATCATGCTGCCAGCTATATATTAAATTCAATGCCAACCTGAACTACAGAGCAAGACTGTGTCTCAAAAAACCAAAACAAGGGCTGGGGATTTAGCTCAGTGGCACAAGGCCAAGAGTTCGATCCCCAGTACAAAAAAAATGTCAGCCAGATATAGTGGTGCATGCCTGTAATTCAAGCACTCAGGAGATAGAGGCAGGAGGATTGCTGCAGAGTTCAAGGCCAGCCTGGGCTGCACAGTGAGACCAGCTCAAAAAAACAATAAAAGGCTGAAGCTGTAGCTCAGCTGCGTCAACATCTTCCTTGTGAGCACAAAGCCCTGAGTTTAAGTCCTCGTACCAACAAACAAACAAACACACACATGAAAAGGAGACAACAAAAACCAGTAAGAAAGTACATTTTAAAAATCTAAAAACCGGGGCTGAAGATTTAGCTCAGCGGCATAAGCACCTGCCTTGCAAGCAGGCAATCGTGAGTTCGATTCCCGGTACTGATAAAAATGAAAAAGATTAAAAAAAAAAAAAAAAAAAAAACTAAAAACCAACTACAAACTAGGTGTGGTGGTAAAGGTGTGTAATCCCAGCACTTTGGAAGCTGAAGTAGGTCCACAGGTGCTTATGCCGCTGAGGTAAATCCGCAGGACCCTTAACCCACTGTTTTGGGCTGGAACCTTCAACACTGCTGTGTCAGCTTCCCAGAATGCTGGGATTACAAGTGTGTGCCACGATACGCCCGGGCACTGAGTTGAATCTTCATGGTGCCAGGTCCCTCACAGAGTGCAGTTCAGAAAGCCAGGCTCCCTTTTAAGGGGAGAAAAGGGGAAAGTATCTGCCCAGCTGTTTTGCATCCGCTCCTCCCCACCCAGCCCACATTCTTACCATCACTCATCACAGCACCTCAGGATTCTCTGGTGCACCTTTTGTGATCAGATACGTTTCACACAAATGACTCAAGGTTTTTTTTGTTTTGTTTTGTTTTTTTTTTTTTAATTCAGAAAGAGAAAGGAAAGGAAATAAAAAATGTTTAAATAACTATTGCAGAAAAGGTGATCTGGACTGAGTGCTGGGACCTACCTCTTCCAGAATAGGGATTAATGGTTTAAACAAAAGAAGAAAAAGAAACAAAAAAGAAATAAATTATTCTGCTCAACACTGTTTGGCATGATTGCATTGTTTATCATCTCCTCCACACTCACAACAGCCCCTCGCGGAAGCACTGAGATGAGACTGGCAAGAAGGGCTGGCGCCTCGCACTTGGCGCTGGCGGGGACCTGAGAAAGGATCTGCGGGGACCCGCCGGCCACTCTGCCGCCGCGGAAACTGGGAAGGCAGATTCAAACAAGTTCTGTTCACAGACCACTTTGGGCGCCCGCGTCCTACCCGCTGCCTTCCAAGCACTGTCCCAGTGGGTGACCATGCCCCGCCAGCTGCAGAAGGCGGCACTGGTGTCGCCGCTGCGGGAAGGGGAAGGTGGGTCCTTCTTGCCTCGACTCGGAGCTTCACAGAAGCCCTTTCCCCACTGCATTCCCGGCCCGGAGGGAGAATGCCGTCAGCAGCTCTAGGGACCTGAGCGGGGCCGCTCTCGCAGGCAGCTTCCCAGCGGAAGCCCCAGCGGCCGGGTGCCAGCGCTCGCGAAGCGGCGCGGGCGGGAAGCTGGCTCTGTGGGAACCCGGGTCGGAACCCAAAGCCGGCCCGCCTCGACACGAGGCTTCCCGCTCCCCTTCGGGGTAAGGGTGAAGGAAGAAGGGGCTCCGCTCCGCCTTTTTCCCAACGTGCTGGCTCCCGAGGGCTGCCACACGCGCGTGTGCGAGACAGACAGACAGACACGGAGGGCCCCAATCCTAGACAGCTTGCTGATTTTTTTCCAAAGCAAAGAGGTTGGTAAGGAGGCCGCGGCCTAAGGGGGGGGGTTACGGGTGAACTGTGGGGCAGGGCCCGCGCGAGAAGCACCATTCTCGGGACAAGAAGGCTTCTCGGTGCCCGCCCTCTTCCTGACTCCCGCGACGGAGCCGGGCGCTGAGCACAGCCAGCCCGCGCCAGGGCGAGGGGTGCCCGTGTCCGGGGCCGCGGGGGGGGGGGGGAGGCGGCAGGAGGGCCCGCGGCAATCGCGCTTCTTTGGTGGCTCCGCACTCACCCGGCGGACGGAGGAGGCGCGCGGCCTCGCCCGTTCCCGGTGCCGGGAATCCTTCTCCCCACCCGCCGCCACCCTACCGCCTCCTTCTCGGAGCCCCCGGTGAAACCAACTGGCTAGAGACCCAGACGTTGCTCTCGTCGGGCTTGTGGAAAGCACTCCATCGCGGGCCAAGCAGCCTCTATATCTTAAACAGAGGAAAACAAAATCCTGTCAAAAGCAAAAGGATGGGGATGGACCGACCGCCGGCTCGCCTTCGAAGGCCATTGATTGGAGGAGACGGGTCGCAGCGCCGGAAGTCCTCCTTGAGTCGCATGATTGGCTAAGAGAAACAGGCTCCGCCCGACTGCAGCGCAGGTTTGGGCCAGGGCCAGGCCGGCCCCCTGAGTTTCGTGATTGGCGGAGGATAGCAGGCGTTCCCTGGACTGCAGCATGATTGGTCCAGGCCGCGCTGCACGGTTCCTGATTGCCTGGCGACGCCCAGGCGTGGGGTGAGCCCAGTGCCTTGAGGCTGGGCAGAAAGGTTCGCTGAGAGCCCAACTCAGTTACCTCTGTAGACCTCGATCTTGCTGGCCTTGGCCAGCATGTCGATGATGTGGGCCTCGAAGTCTGCGTCGTGCACGCCCGTCTTCCGAAACTCGCCCGCATATCGGTTATTCTCCCAGTAGTGGTGCCAGTTGCCACGGCTGTCGGCACCGAAGCCGTACACGTTCACCTGTGGGGAAGGGCAGCACGGTCACCAGCCTGGACAGGACACAGCCTACGAGGCTGGAAGCACCGCGGAGGGATCACCCAGGCCTGGCCTGTGGTCCCTGTTAGCTGTCCTTCCTGTCCACTGCTTGCCAACTTCCTCCTTTCTTTAGTTTTGAGACAGGATCTTTTTACTTATGTAGTCCAGGCTGGCTGCCAGCTTTGTGATCCTCCTGCCTCACCCTTATGAGTAGGTCGGCTTACAGAACTACACCATCATGCCCACAACAGAATAAACCGGGGCTAAGGATTTTAACAGACAACCAGCTCAAATTACTACTAGTTGCCATCCTACTTATGATTATTTCTTTAAGAGGAATAATATCAACTATAGTATTATCATTCTATTTCATTTTTCAATAAGTTTAATTTTTTTTTTCCCAAAGAGGGAAAAGGCCAGCCCTGAACTCCTGAGCCTTCTCAGTAGATGATGGCACCACACCTAACTATAAATTTTCCTTTTTATTTATTTTGGTTTTTGGCTACAGTGTCTTGCTATGTGGTTCAGGCTGGCCTTGGCCTTACTATGTACCCGAGGCTGGCCTTGAACTGCCTATGACCTTCTTGCCTCAGCCTCCCTAATGCTGGGATTGTAGGTGTGCTATACCACTGAAAGTTATTTTTTTAATGAAGTGATTTCAGATTTAGTAACATGAAAATAATACAGTTGGAAGAAGTGCAAATCTATACAGCTTAGAAATTGGGGGATGTAAGCCCTGTGTTTTTGTCTAGAAAAACCCATAGTCTTCTGCTAAGACCCAAGAAGGGCGGCTTTGCCTCCCTCTGTTACCTGGACCCCACCATTTCCGCTGCACACTGGGGCCCACCCACCTCATCGCACACATGCAGGGCGAAGAAGAGCACCAGCATGCCTGTGGAAGGGTACCGCCCGTGGTGCTCCGTCCACCTGTCGTGGATGTACTTGAAGAAGGCCGGATTGTAGATCTGGACCTGGGAGAAGCGTTAGCAGGCCTGTGAGGGGCAGGGCAGGGGCTGGGAGACAGGGGCCAGGTTCTAGCAACATCTGCCAGTGCCCCTGCCCCTAGTCAGGGCCTAGGTGTGCGTGCTCCGTGGTCCTGTGGCCTCTGCTGGGGTGGGCCCAGCAGCCAAGGGGACCCAGGAGGTTCCTGAAGGGAACTGGGGCACCCTGGAGCCAGAGGTACAGACACACCCTGGGGAAGGGCAGCACTGTTCTCAGGAGAGGGAGAAAAGGAGGGGAGAGGTGAGAACTGACCTTCTCTTTGTCTACTCGAAGGAAGGACTTCACTGGTGCGTAGGTGCTGTAGGCAAAGAGAAAGAACATTTCAGAGACGCCACTGCCCTTCAGCACTGACCACTGGATCAGCCTGAAGCACTTTGGAATATAAAAGTGTTCTACAATTAATTGTGATGTTTATACTACTCTAGGAATATTGTACAAAGTCACTGGATTGTATCCTTTCAATAGCCAAGTTGTACGTAAGTGAATTGTATCTTTTTTATATAATGTAATTTGTTTTAATGTAACCTGCTATAAAAATAAAGATTCTGTATGGTATAGTTGGCTTTACAAATGTTAATGAGGAGTTAATGCTTAATGTTACATTATATATCTTTAAAATCTGTTGACCAGGGCTGATTTAGCTCAGTGGCATAAAAGCGCCTGCCTGACAAGCTCAAGGCTGTGAGTTCGATCCCTAGTACAAAAAAAAAAAAAAATCTGTTGACCAATAACATAGCTTTTTTCAACACAAGTTAATACCAAAATTGTGAACTGTGGAGGTGAATGATATCTTGGTAAATCTCTTGAAAAGAAAATACTTGGTGCCAGGCACATAAATGCCTGTAATCCCAGAAACTGAGAAGCTGAGCCAGGAGAGTTGCTATGAGTTCAGGGCCAGCTGAGCTAAATAGTGAGTTCAAGGCAAACTTGGACTCCATAGCAAGACCTTGTCTGAATCCATGAAAATAAAGTAAAATAAAATTTTAAAAAACGGGAGAACTGTATTTTCCACGATTCCAGCTGTGATGGGACAACTACACAGAAAAAAGTTCCCAGAACACAGAGCCCGGAAGTGAGGATCCCCTCTCGTGGAGAGAAGATTAACACCAGCCTGTTCCTGGACTTTGGACCACTGTCTTTGGGCGACCAAATGTAGTGAGTGGCGCCGAGCAGCTGTGCCCTGCTAACCCACAGCCCCCACTGCCCTCCTTGCCAGTCCCTCTCGGCCATGTGTCCAGTGAGAACTCTGCAGTCCATCCCTAGAAACCCCTCCCAGTGCTCCTGTCACCCACATTCCACTCCCAGCCTGCAAAGAGCCTCACAATCGGATCTGCCCTGTGGACAGGGCGCTGGCAATCCACAGCAGGTCCAGGGCCTTGAAGGGCACCAACACGAAGCTGACGTTGGCAGGCAGATTCTTGGCACTCTCAGGATACATAAAATGGTGTGTGGTCCGGCTGCCAACATCCTGCTCAAAGCCCACAGTTGGCGCCTGATTCATCCTGTAGGGGAAAGGGTGACATGAGAAGAAACTGCCTTAGAAACTGATACAAGATTCTTAGAGGCCGGATGTAGTGACAGCACGTAACTGTAAGCCCAGCCCTTGGGAGGCTGAGGCAGGAGGATTGCCATGAGTTTGAGGCTAGCCTGGGCTACACAGTGAATTCAAAACCAGCCTGAACTACATAATGAAACCCTGTCTCAAACCCCTCTTCTACCCAAATTTTTTCCTTAGGGAAAAATTTGGTGCTGTCCATCAAAAATACAAAGAATATACACTGAGTTAGCAATTCCATTTCTACACCTTTACCCTATAAAAAGGGCTGCAGAGATGTGCAAAGATGTATATAAGGTATTCAGTCAACCAAACAATAAAGAACTGGTTAAGGCTGCCAGGCATGACAGTGCACACCTGTAATCGGAGCACTTGAGAGGCTGAGGCAGGAGGATCACTACAAGTTTAGAGCCAGCCGGAACTACATAGTGAGTACAAAGACCACTTGAACTAGAGTGAGGCTCTGTCTCAAAAAACCAAAAACAAGCTGGGGGTTTAGTTCAATGGCATAAGCGCCTGGCTGGCAAGCGTGAGGCTGTGAGTTGGATCCCTAGTACCAAAACAAAAACAAAAAGCAAACGAGCCCATTCTTTCAATCTGTACAAAATACTGGCTAAACATAATCCAGACTGTCTTTTTTTCTTTTTCTTTCCTTCTTCCTGCCTCCTGAGGGTGAGCTGTGGAATTGCAACTACCAGGGAGGCTGTCCAGAACCCAGTCCTCCACTGGGAGCCGAGTCTCTGGGCCTCCTCAGCTACTGTACCAGTTCTGTAAACCAGGGCAGACGTTCCGGGTCCTGAAAGTGGCTACAGACTCCTGTGCCGCGGGTGCCCACGCTGTCTTCCTCTCCTCACCCAGAGAGGAGTGTGGAGGCCTGGCCCCTGCAGTGAGGATGCTCCGCCCCTCCACTCAGTCACTGTGCCTCCGGTCTCTTTCCTTTCCCTGGGCCAAGGGAGGGCGTCCGGGGTAGAGATCATAGAGTCCTGAGAGTCTCTGTATTTTTTACCCCCAGTACTGGGTAGGACTGAACCCAGGGCCTTTTCACTGAGCTATATCCCTGGCTTTTAATTTCTTTCGGTCTCCCTGTCTCCCTTTCTCTCTCTTTCTCTCTCTCTCTCTTTCCCTCCCTCCCTCCTTCCTTTCTTCCTTAGAAAGGGTCTTACTAAGTCATTGCCCAAGCAGGGACTGACTTTGCAGTCTTTCTGCCTCTGCCTCCCAGAGTGTTCAGATTACAATGGGCACCACCACGCCTGGCTGAGTCTCTGTTCTTAACTACTCAGTCCCAGTCTGGTTCAAGCAGATGCTTAGAATCTTCCCTGGAGAACCTACAGGGCTTCATGCCCAGAATGGGGATCTAGATGCTGCTTCCCCATTGTGAATCCAAGACCTCAGACAAAATGTCCTTCTGCCTGCTGGCCTTTAAGGGGTGCAGCGATGCTGGCTCCCAGTATCTTTACCCTCCCATAAGTAACGCTGCACATGCTGAGAACTACTGTGGTCATCACAGCCACAGTCTGCACCTGCCTTCTGCCATGTCACCTTGGGCTCTGCAGGGAACAGCACAGGCCAGCAAGGAGCCTGCACAGGTCACATCATCAGCGCATCCTGCTTGCAGGAGGGAGAGGAGCAAGAGGTAGGAAACTGGGCCGGCGCCCTCCGACTGGGCAGAATCTGGCTCTAGGTTCCTGCCGGTGAACCTCAGAAGCAGACTTCATCGCCCCTAAGCCAAGGGCTAAGCTGGCTCTGCAGAGCAGAGAGCTGCACCACGCCAAGCCGGCTTCACACACTACCTGCCTTCTCACCACACCAGCAGCCAGCGCTCTCTAATCTCTCCCCAGGTCTTCTGTGGGACTCTCCTGCCTCTCAGCCTTGTGGACGGCCCTGCTGCACTGCCTGTACCACCTGCTTTCCCCCATTCTCCTGGCACACGCTGCCCAGGCACCACCTGCAAGGCTTTAGGATGAAAGGAACAAGACGCTCCAGAAGATGATTCCTAGTCTCCACAGGAAAGGGAAGGAATGTCATTGCCCAAGCTGGGCCTCAACTTGCGATCCTCCTGCCTCAGCCTGCCAGAGTACTGGAGTGACAGGTGTTCAGCACCACACCTGGCTGGAATGGGCCTTGGGGGGGGGGGTGTTTGGAGACAGAGTCTTGCTATGCAGTTCAGGCTGGCCTCAAACTTGCAACAATCCTCCTGCTTCAGTCTGCAAAGTGCTGGAATTACAGGAGTGAGCCACCAAGCCTGGCGGTGCACTTTTTTGGAGACAGGATTTTGTTTTGAGGCTCTTATTGATTCTGAAACAGAGCCAGAGGATGAGCTAGATCTCTAGGAGCTGGGGGCATGCCATTCCAGAAACTCATCTGTCCAGATGTCTCCCGTAGCCAAAGCTCTGGGGAGGGACACAGACAGGGTGAGAGGATACACATACTCTGTACACAGCATCCGGCTGCCTATCCTTTTCTTTCATTCATGTGCTCACAGCCTGCTGTCCAGGCACTGAGCTACGATTTCTGACGGCCAGCTGAGGCCAGAACAGCCACCTCCACTCAGAGGGGTCCGTCTGGAGGATTTACAGAAGGGCGCGAGCTGTGCTCAGCTATCTGACAGTGCCTCCCCTGAGCTCCCCAAATGCTGAATACTCCAGGACAACACTGGAGGAGGGAAGCTTCGCTCCCAATCTCAGCAACCTCTCTTGGGGGGACAGAGCCTCCCCTAGCTCCCATCAAGTCCCCCTCTGTGAGTGGAGGACAGGGATGATCCTATATGGCTCTGGGGTGCTGGGTGAGGTCCAGTACCCTCCTCTCCCTCCCCCTGGCACTGTCTCCTAACTCAAAGAAGGTCTTGCAAGGAATGCAGAAAGCCTCAGAGATACAGCGCTGCCTCAGTGTTGCTATGGAGACAGCAATGGTTTCTAAGACAAAACACTTCCTTCCACCTCCTGGGAAGCCTGGTCGGTCTGCCATGCGCATCCTGAGAGGTGCTTAGTAAAAAGCAGGTGTTTTCAGCATCTTTCTTTCTTTCTTTTACTTTTTGGCACTGGGGATTGAACCCAGGCCCCTAAGCAATTGAGGTGAGCATTAGGTCTTTGAGCTATGCCCCCAGCACTTTCTGACACAAGGTTCAACTGGCTTCGGACTTGGAACCCTCTTGCCTCAGCCTCCTGAGTACACAGGTACACCACTGCGCCTGGCATTACCTCTTGTTTTCCTCCCCTAGCACTGAAGATTGAACCTAGATCCTTTGCATGGAGCTACATCCCAGCCCTCTTTTATTTTATTTTTGGGTTTTTTGTTTTTTTTTTTTTTTTTGTACAAGGGATCAAACTCACAACCTTGTATTTGCCAGGCAGGCACTGATGCTCCTGAGCTAAATCCCCGGCTAGCCCTCTTATTTTGAGGTAGTCTAAATCACTAAATTGCTGGGTCTGGGCTTGAATGTGCCTTGCTTATGCCTCAGCCGCCAAGGGTGCTGGGACTCCAGGCACGCGCCACCACGCCCAGCTATCATTACTCTTAAGGTCCTTCTTCCCGCATGGAATGGTGGTAGAAGATCCCCACTGTGGCCTATGCTGTCCCCAGACAAGTCAGGCAAGAAAGAAACAAGGTCTGAACGGAGGAAGCAGCCATGTGAGGGCTCCTGTCCACCCTGTGTTCTTTCAGGCCCAGGCTTCCAGGCCGGACAGAATGTCCAGCCAATTGAACTTCCCTCCCCTCCCCTTCCCTTTCTTTTCCGGCTCTCTTTTTGTGGAACTGGGGAATGAATCCAGGTTTCACACGTGCTAGGCAAGTGCTCCACTACTGCGTTTTATCTCTAGCCTTTTTCTTTTGAAACAGGGTCCCCCTAAATTGTCCAGGCCTTGAACTTTTGCTCTTCCTGAGTCGCTGGGATTACAGGCATAGACCCCTGACCCACTTCCCTCCTAGCCCTTCTTTCCTCGGGGCTGGGGTGGGGGTATCTGAAAACTTTATGAGGATGAAGAGAAGGGGCAGCTGCCCAGGATAAGCCCAGGACAGCTCCTTTTCCTGTCTACCCAGGACCACGAATTTCGATGAGCCCGCCAAAAAGAATCGCCTGCTGCTGTCATGCCAGATGCCAGCTGGTGTGTGTGTGGGGTCCTCACACCCGGCCTAACCAAGAGGGCTACAAGGCTAGGAAGGGGATCTATCTGTGGGAGTTTTCAGCTCTAAAGGAATTCAGGCCCTGGAAACTGATGCAGGCCTTCAGCAAAGTTTAGATTTGGATCGCTGCAACCCACCTACCCTACACAGACAAGGGAGCCCTTGGCCTGTCACTGAAGGCTCTGGGCCACTTGTCCTTAGCGACCCATGGGTGTTGTCCCCGGATGACTGGCAACTTGAACTGTGACAGGCAAGGCAAAGGAGTCAAACGCCCTCCCAGAGGCCTGGCCTGGCCTGGCCTGGCCGCACCCATCCAGCAGGGGCTCACCTCATGATGAAGTTGTGCCCGTCCACCTCCTGCCCGTAGCCGGAGCCTCGCAGGTTGCCCGAGTTGCCCACCACGGCACAGCGCCGGCACTGCTGCGGGTCGCGGAAGCGGTAGGGGTTCTCGCCCGGCACGATCTGGAACAGCTTCTCCAGCACCTCGTTGGTATTGTGTGACTTGAACTGAGGCTGCAACATCTGTGGCGGGCAGGGCGCTGTGAGGAGGGAAGAACGCCTGCCGCCCCTCCCTGCTCCCGGTGTTGGGGGGGGGGGTGTCTCCCTGAGCAATGAGGACACCCTCACCCCGGCTCCTAGAGGGCCTCACTCTTCAGAGCTGGGCACCCTACCAGGCATAGGCTCTCTGACCCAAGGGCGCTCAGGGTGAAGCTGCTATTCAACAGGTTGCTAAGGGGCCCCATCCCCGGTCTGTACCACGGAGCAAAGCAATCGCCCTCAGCGCCTTCCTAATCAACCTGTAGGGGGCACCCCTGAGCCTTGGGCGCACGGCTGAGCTCACGCTGAGCTTATGGAGGCCCAGACCACCAGGCAAAGGTTCACCAAATCCTAGTACCACACATTGAGTCCTTAACCTCGAAACACAGATAGGAACAAGAACCCTTGCAAAGTCATACGAATGTAATAAAACTGTTCTCCTACACCTCCTGCCACCGGCTGGAATCCAAACCACCGAGTCAAAGAACAGAAAATGAGGTGGGGCAGCCGTTCAGTGCACAGGCGGGCCAGGCAGGTGCCCAGGATGGTAGAGTGGAGGGGTCCACAGCAAACAGGACACCACGTGTCTGAAGGAATGCACAGGTAGCTCAGTGGCAAACTGTTTGCCTAGCGCACGTGAGGCCTGGGTTTGTTCCCCAACACTGAAGACAACAGAGAGACAAATTCAGCCAGTTGTTTTGATCCATCCAAGCTAAATTGAATTTTATGTAAGATATCCTGATTTCTTATTTTATGCATTTATTTTTGAGACAAGATCTCACTACATAGTTCAGGCTGGCCTGGATGTGTGTGTGTTTAGTTTTCAGTTGAGACAAGGTCTCACTATGAAGTTTGAACTATGTAACCCAGGATGACCTCAATCTCACAGCGATCCTCTTGGCTCAGCCTCCAGAGTGCTGGGCTTACAGGCATGCCCCACCACACCTCCTCGCTGTCCAGCTGTTTCTAGTGCAAATATTTTAAAAGCACTTAGTAAGCTGGACTGATCCATGGCTAGAGCTTTAAACTACTAGAGCCTGAACTCTAATCCCACGAGTCTGTGGACAAGCAGAGCTCCCCCAGGATCAGAGATCTCCACAGAGGGCGCCTGGCTGTGGAGAGCAGGAAAGCATCTCAACGAACAGACATGTCCAGTGCTCCAACAGCTGCTGGGTTTATCCCTGTGGGCAGGTCGCCTGTCCCACTCCTGAGCATCCACCACTGCCCAGAGTCCTGTTGTGGCTCTGAGGCCATGCTGAGACTGTTACCATGGGCAGACCTTGTTCACTCTCAGAACCTTGAGTTTCCCATAAAATGGAGGCTGTGACCACTAGCAGCAAGCAGGAACCTTCAAGGGCTCTGGTCTGTGATAAGGGCCTGTGGTCACCCAGGAGCCCTGGTTCTACAGATCCAGGCCTTGGGTGCCTCCGAGTCTGGGCCAGAAGGCAAGACCTGGTCACCCAAACTCCCTCACAGTGTCCCAAAAGAAAGACAAATGGGAGACATCCCATTCCCACTTTCTGTCTGCGGAAATCAAGGGCTCAGAGCTGTCCCCCAAGTGGGGAACCTGGGCAGCCTGTGGGCTCAAGACACTGCTCCGCCCTCGGCACAGACAGCAACCAGGTGGCACCACAGCCTGGAGGGTGCTCCAGAAATGATGGGCTCCAGGCAGAGGGCAACACAAGAAGCAAAAAGGTGCCAGCAGCTAAAGACTTGGCCAACCCTGCCCTCCCTTAACCCCTGGGGTAATTCACAATGCTTTCCTACCCAAGTCCAGAGCAGTCATATCCACCAACTGGAAAGACCCAAAAGCAGCTCTAGTGGTATTTATAATTATCTGAGTCAGTACATCGGCAGTAGGATTTTTAGTTTCGGAATTTAGTTTCTGGGGTCTCCTAAGAGGTCCACAGATGCAGAGGTGTGAACCACACCACACTGTGGCAGGAGCAGGGGCGGAGTATGGGCTGCTCCTTTGTCTGTGGGACCTGCTTGGGCCAAGGGGCATTCACTCCTTGTCTATGCTGAGCTCCTACAGGTATTGAAAAATACTAGTTCTCTCTGCACCCTCAGGTCAAAGCTTACTTCACCCTTCAATAATCTGTGATCCCACAAGCAGGACTCCCACTTTGTTAAGATGCTGCGGTCCAGAAGATAGAAAGCCCTAACCGTAGAAGGGGCTCTAAGACAATCCAAAACAAGGTGACCAGCTCCTGGAGAAGGGACAGCAAAGGGGAGGCGGAAGAGCCACGGGTCTCACCATCCACCACCTCTGGACATCCGGAGGGAGATCCATGTTCTCTCGCGTCCAGACGGGGGAGATGTTGCTGTCGAAGTGGCTGTCGAACCAGTCCGAGGCGCCGGCATCCCCCATGCAGCGGCGGCAGGCACAGCTCTTGCCCGAGAGCCCCTCCTTACTGAGGCGCTGCAGGCCGGCATAACCAGGCACCAGCTTTACCCGGTGCGTCCCGCCCAGGGCCCCGGAGTCCAGGTAGGGCAAGGTGGTCATGCTATGGTGTGAGTAGGTGAAGAGTAGGGACATGATGAACACCAGCAAGAAGGCCACCGAGAGGAACCACACCCGCAGGGAGCACTTCATGGTGCTGGTGGGCAGGTGGCCGTCACCGTGGCCACTCCTTTCCCAGTCCCCCAAGGGGCTGGCCACGGCACAGCCTGCCTGTTCTGACAGTACGTGCAAAGGGCATAGGGGCACGTGCTGCGGCAGGGGACCCTCGCCAAGCCCTCCCTCCCCTATGTAAGGAGAAAGCTCATAGGCAGGAGCGGCTCTCCTGGCCCCAAGCCACTCTGGCCCCTGTTTAGGGCTTCATCAGGTTTCTCTGTCACTAGCTGGGCCACAAAGGCTCTGCCTCTCCTGCCACCCCGGCGAAGAGGAGGTCAGTCCATGCCAGCCCTCTAGTTCCTTGGGATTGCTGGCTGCCAGCTCTGGAGGTTCCCCTCTTTGGTGGCTTGGAAAGGTCCAGTCTGGGACAGTCAGAGTCCTTGTGGCTCATGAGCAGATGCTGAGGCAGGCCCTTGTCCCCCACAGCGGGGAAGCACCACAAGTCTGATCAGGACAGAGCATACATGGCTTCAGGGGGCCGAATTCCATGCAAGAGCCCTTTCCACCCTGGCTGCCAGGGGAGGGGAAGCGGGCTCCACCCGTGATAGCAGGAAACCCGGAAGCCCCTTAGGGTCAGGAAACTCCTGCAGAGACCGAGACCTCCTAGGGTTGGCTTCCACCCCGCTGCATCCCATCCAAGCGCTGCTCTCTCTTCTGGTGTTCACGCTCCCAGCTGCGGAGATGTGGGGAGTCACAGAGCACCTACTCCTGCAGTGGGGTCCTCAGGGGGCTGGGAACAGCTGCTGCTCTCCAAGGGCTGCGTCCAAGCCATCTGGGTCAGCAGAGTGTGTATGTAGCTCCCCATCAGGGCCCAGGCCTCCTTCCTGGAGCTGCTGGCCTGGGCTCGGTGGCTGCTCTGCCCATCCCTACTCCCCCGAGGCCAGGCTGTCCTGCCGGAGCTTGTGCTAGCAGTAATCCCCTGGCAGGTTCCCCCTCACTCGTCAGGCGCCAGGCTGCCGCAGCGTGACCCTGAAATTGCAGAGAGGAAAAAGAATGTGCAGAGAAATCACACACACACACACACACACACACACACACAGGCTGTCCCCCAGCCCCACCCCCAAGTCCCAGAGGGGACAAAGCTAGCAGTAGAGACAAGGCCCACCTAATAAAAGAGTGGACAAAAGAAAGAGCTCCCCCTCTAACCAGCCATAGACAGCATGCTCTGCCTGACTCCCAGGCCTCAGAGGGCTTAGATTAGTCCAGCATCTTCACTTATTAGCCAGAAGGTAAACAAGGACTACGGTAAATTGATTTCCCCAGAGTCCAGCCATGCTGAAGTACTAGGTTCAGTGCGGTTTTGTATAGTTACTTTCAGGTGAAACTTAAAAGAAAACAGCCCAACAGTGAGGCATAGTAGCACACACCTGTAATCCCAGCACTTGGGAGGCTGAGGCAGGAGGATCCCCGTAAATTCGAGGCCAGCCTGAGCTACATAATGAGTACTGACCAGCCTGAACTACATAGGAAGACCCTATCTCAAAACCAAAACAAAACAAAACAAAAATAACACCATCCCAGAGAGATTTTAGAGGACTCCCCAACATGATGTGCTCAGGGGTCTCCCAGTAAAAAGGGAGGGCTGGGCCCAAGTCCTGCAACTTACCCCACTTCTCTCCCCATGTGGATTATCCAGGAAACATTTTTGAGTTGGCTAAATGCAAGTAAACTATAAACAACTCCTCCAGCTCTGGGGTGGGGTTCAGGGGCTGACTGTGTCAGGAGGTTGTAATTGCCAGACTCAGGACCCAGAGACTAGCCCTCCGGGCATCCATGGATGAAATGAACACCGGGATCTCTGGTGGGGCTGAGACCCCAAGCTGCCCTGGCAGACAAGAATGGGGAGAAGAGGCCACTTATATAGTATTTGAGCAGTAGCCTTAAGGAAAGGCTCTTGAATCCATGTCTTGACGATCTCAGAACTATCTCCTCTCCAAACTGGCCCACCCTAGCTCTGACCCAGCCCTGGGGCCACTCCCTCTCCTGGTTGAAAGCTCGGCCACCTTTACTGGGGTTTGCTGGCTGCCGCTGCCAGCTGCACAGATCTCCAAAGCTATGTGTTCAAGAAACTCAACTGCCCCCTCCATTCGTGGTAGATCAGATTTCTGGGGCCAAGCCAAACCACAAAGCCATCGGGAAATGGAACCATCAAGTTGCAGCGTGGAGATCACTCAGGGGAGGAAAACGATGCACACAGAAGAGAAAATTGGATTCCTTCATTTAAAAGTCATGGCCTCAGGGGTGGTGGTGAGCTTTGAGCCTCGCCCAGCTAACTCCAGAGCCTGGGATCTGGGATGGGTCAGAGCACAGACAGCAAGGCCGGAGGGGAAAGGGAGGACGGACACAGGCTGGCTTCCCGGGGTCACAAATGAGGCTTCACCGCCAGCAGCACTGACTGGGATGTGCTTCTTCCGATGCTCTCTGTGGCCATTCAGCAGATCACAATCTACAAGTGGCCTCTGGCTGAGCAGAGCACAGGGAGGAAAGCAGGGCCAGCTGTCCCTTGCCTGTTTCCACAGCCAGCATGCAAGGAAAAGCTTGACATTGCAGGGCCCACTCAAGCCTCCTGGAGCTGAGAAGAGCCCTCCACTGCTCGGGGACCCCTGGGAGGCAGTGGTTTTGCAGACCAGGCAAGGGACACAGGGGCCACTGTTGTGGAGACCTGGTTTATGGGTGGCAGCTCCACAGTGTCACGGTGGAGGCAGGGCTCGGGGGAAGCTGGCACAGGTTTCCAGAGGGAACATCTCAGCCAGGGGATTCTAAATCAATTGGGGCATCCGAGGTAACTAGACTGCTTTACTGAGAGGAAAATGCCTAGTTCAATGTGTTTGGGATGAGCAGGACTGGAGTCCCCGGCAAAAGCCCTTGCTCATGGAACAACCAGGATGTTCCTGGGAGCTGAAGCTGCTCAACTTGTGTTGAGGGGGAATCCAGGCACAGGGAGGGCAGAAAGCATTAGAGGCCCCTGGACATGCGTTACAAACCCAGCAGTCACCCAGAGCTGGCCTTCTGGTCGCATTTCCCCCTCTGGCCCACTGCCTACCCGGGATCTCTCCCTTGCACTCTCATTATTCACAACAAGCCCATGCTTCACCCCATGTAAAATGCAGAGGACAAGTTACACAGCTTGGCACCAGCCCCCTCCTCTGCTGCCAGCGAAGGGAAGCAGGTCCGTACTCCTGGGTTCATCCCAGATACCAAGGGGCCAAAGCCGCATTGGGGACACAGGGTGGAACAGGACGCCCCAGCCCAGGCCACAAGCTTACAGTCCGCCATCACAGAGACAAAAGCAATAACACATGCTGTTCAGGGGGAAACTGGGACCTGGGAGAGGAGAAAAGGAATGAAAAGAGCTTTAGGAAGAAACCAACTGGGCCTAAAGCATGGTATGGAGCTGGGGTGTGGCATGAAGCCCTGGGTTCCATCCCCAGCACCCTAAAGAAGAAAAGAAAAAGAAAGAAATAGCACTGTATTAAGGCCAGCTTGTGAGAAAAAGCCAGGATGCTTGATTAGGATTTATCACAAATCTGATGGGAGGGTTCTGAGTAGGAATGTGTCATGACCTGATTTCGATTTTAAAATGGATCTTCAGAGTGAACTGTTTAAAATACTCAGAGGGCCAAGACTTTGGAAAAAATGTGGAGTATTAAAAACAGGGTTGGGTGCGGTGGCACACGCCTATAATCCCAGCACTTGGGAAGCTGAAGCAGGACGATCAAAGCAAGTCTAAGGCTACCTTGGGCTACAAAGTGAGTTCAAGGCCAGGCAGAACTGCAAAGTGAAACCCTACCAAGAAAAGACAGAGAGACAGAGACAGACAGACAGACAGACAGAGAAAGAGCGAGAGAGAGAGAGAGAACAATCAGTGAGGAGCTGGGCATGGTGGCAAATGGCTGTGATCCCAGCACTCAGGAGGCTGAGGCAGGATTGCCACAAATCCAAGGCCAGCCTACACTACACAGCAAGACCCTGTCTCCAAAAAAAGAGTGAGGAGCTGAACGTGGTGCTACATGCTTATAATCCCAGCACACTGGGAGGCTGAGGCAGGGGACTCTAAGTTTGAACACAGTCTGGGGAATTAAGTAGCTCATGCAAAGGCCTTGGATTCAATCCCCAGCATAAAACACACACACCAGTAAGACTCATGGGTGGCACTGGAAACTGGTATAATGCTTTGGAAGATCACTTAAAATGGACATGAATATATCCCCATGGGGTATGTGTGTTTTATTTTTTGAGGATTTTATCTTCTTTTTTTTTGTTTTGCTTGTTTTTGAGACAGGGTGTCACTGTGCAGTTCAGGCTGACCTTGAGCTCATTTTATAGCCCAGGCTGTCTCAAATTCTCGACAATCCTCCTGCCTCAGCCTCCTGATTGCTGGCATTACAGGTATGCACCACCATGCTCAGCTTTTTTGTCTTTTTGAGACAAGGTCTCTCTATGCAGTCTGGGCAGGCCTTGGGCTTCCTCTGTAACCCAGGCTGGTCTTGAATTTGAAATAATCCTCCTGCCTCAGGCTCCCTAGGGTTGGGATTACAGGAGTGTGCCAACATGCCCAGTTTATGCTTTTGTGTGTGTGTGTGTGTGTGTGTGTGTGTGTGTGTGTGTTGTGTGTGTGGGTGCATGTGCGTGCATACACATACTAGGAATGGAACTCCCAACCTCGTACATGCCAAGGGTACCCTTGTGCCACTGAGCTAAAAGCCTGACCCTATGCTTTGTTTTAAAACAGATTAAAACCAGGGATATAGCTCAGCAGATAAGTGCCTGCCTGGCCAGCACAAAGTCCTTAGTTCAATTCTCAATACCAACAACAAAAAACATTAAAAACCACCTTCCTCACAGAAAATACGGTGTCTACAAAGAATAGGAGACCAGAAAGTTCCTCAATTTTGAGTTTATTTCATGACTTTCCAGGCTCTTCATCCTGGAAACTGCTTCCCCTTCTCAGCGGTGGGGATGGTGGGAAGAAACCGTTTCTCACCCAAAAGTGTGGAGGGTTACTGAATTACAAAGTTAGTGAGTTCTGTTTGCTCATCATACCGAACAGATCTGAAGCTTAAACTGAACCCCAACAACAGGACCGCATGCACCTTTCGCCAAAACTCACTCATGTGACTAGTCCCCCCCTTGGGACAATTCCCTCCTTTTTTTGTGGTACTGGGGCTTGAACCCAGTGAGCTCTACCACTGAGCTACATCCCCAGCCTTCTTAATATTCACTGTGAGACAGGATCTTGCAAACGTCTATATGAGGCAGGAAGATTACTGCAAATTCAAGGTCTGCCTGAAATCCATAGCGAGACTTTGTCTCAAAAAATAAAATAAAAATGAAAGCAAGAAATAAATAAATGGCCCAAGTCGGCCTCAAATTTGTAGTCCTCCTACCTCGGCCTCCCAAATAGCTGGGATTAAAGGGTCCTCTCTTTTGTAGTTTAATCCATATATGATAAAATGCAGAGCTCTTTCAATACAAAGTCTGACCTGTGACCATCGATGTGACCCTGCACTTTAGAACACAGGACTCATCCGCCATTCCAGGAGTTCCCTTTGCTCCTGGCTTAACTGTCCCCCTACTTTTCGGCCTTGTGGCACCAGAGGTGAGCTGTCCCTGCTCCTGAGCTTCCTGGGACATGTGTGCTGTTCCCATGTGTACCCAGCCCCTTCTGCTCACCATAATGTGCTAGAGACTTGTGCACGCTGCTGCACTAATGATGTGTCCTTTTCCATGTCTGGACACCTGGACACTGAGTAGTAACTAGTTTTTGATTGTTAGTACTAAAATTGCCATGAATTTTTTTGTTTTTTAAAATTTTCCACTAATTTTACTGGCTCTCTGTCTCTCTCTTTTGCCGTGAATTTCTTGTACTAGTCTTTTTGTGGACACACACTCTCATCTGTCATGGGTAAACATCTGGGAGTGGAATCACTGGGGTCCTAGGCTAGGTATGTGTTTAGTTTGGCTAGAAA